AGCACCAGAATCCCAGATGGGCACCAGTTCATATCCCAGCTGTTCCACTTCCCGTCCAGCTCCCTCCTTGTGGCCCCAGAAAGCAACAGAGGACAGCCCCAGGCCTAGGGACCCTGTATGCACATGAGAGACCCAGAGGAGACTCCGGGCTCGACGGATCGGCTCAGCTCTGGCTGATGCAGCCATTTGGGGAGTGAACCAGTAGATGGAAGATCTTTTTCTCCATCTCTCCCTTTCTCTGTAAATCTGCTTTTCCAATATGAATAAATATGAGAGGATGAGAAAGACAAGGAATAGAGAGAAAGAGATCTGTCCACTGGTTCACTCCACAAAGGTTACAACAGCCAGGCCTTAGGTCTGGCTGAAGCCAGGAGCCAGGAACTCCAGTCTTGTCTCCCTTGTTGGCAGCAGGGACCCAAGGGCTTGGGCTGTCAGCGGCTGCTGCCGTGCCACTCTAGCAGGACATTGGATCAGAAGTGGAGTCTCCAGGACTTGAACCTAGCCCTGTAGGATGGGATATGAGTATCCAGGCAGTGGTTTAGCGCGCTGCACTGCGATGCCTGCCCCATCCACCTTTACCATTGTAGGTGTCAGATGAGCTCCTTTGGCATAGTGGACTTCACTCCATAGGAGCTCACACCCATTTTCCATTTATCCATTTCTGTAGCTGCCAGGCACGCCTTTGTATGTCAGGCATTTGCTGCAGGTGTCATCCTGGCTTTGCATATTGAGGCAGTTTCTGATCGTTTAGTCTCAAACAATGCTACCCTGAGTCTCATCACGCGTGTGTCTTTGTGTATTATTGGAGGGGCATCGTGGAATTCCTGGGTCACAGGTGAACGCATGGGTGGTCGTGTTCAAGGTCATCCAGCTGTTCCCCCCTCAGGGCACATGCTCACTCTCCCCCTATGAGCAGCTAGCGTTTCTGGTGAGGATGAGCACAGCAGCCGGAGGAGGAGAGAATGAAGGTCAGGCACGTGAGCGGGGCTCAGCAGCGCCCCGGGAAGTGGTGTGATTGGAAAGGAAGGACACCTGAACTTGAACATCAGGGAAGAACAGAAATAGTAGCACTAATTGGCTTTGTAGAAACGGATTTCCTGCTGGCTCTGTGTCCAGCGCTGCCCCGGGTGGCCTTGCCTCCTGGCTGTTGGAGGGTCGCCCCCGAGTGCAGTCGCTCGGTGTGACAAGATAGCTCTGTCTGCCGCTACCCTGCGGTACCTCCCATCTCCTCTGCCAGGACAAGGTGACCTTCTGCACCTGCTTGCCAAGGTTGCCCTTGGCGTCTGCTTCCTGACCTGCCCTGGCTCCGCCCCCATCCTCTCTGACCCTATGTTATCTACGCCCACAGCTCAGGCCAATTTAAGTTCTAAGCTGTCAGAGACTCAGTGGCCTGAAGTTTCCATTGGTGACTGAATTTTTTGTGCCACTCTCCCTATTGGTGTCTGCTCACTTGCAGCTGTCTCTGTTTCCCTGGCTGGCCTGTGCCTACCTCAGGTGACCTCTGGAGCCATGACGGGTGATGGCATTGGGGTACCTAGAGCAAGGCATTGTACCGGAAATGAGTAGATGGGTCCCCTCCCTGCCTCACTGGTCACTTGCCAAATTTTTTCCGTCACGTTCTCAGAATGGATAACCTTATGCGGGCTTTCCACAAAGTTCCCCATTGCACGTATTGGAAGAGCAGAGTGACAGACACCCCACCCACACAGCCTGCAAGAGTGCGCCCATCTGCCGGCTCCCTCCCCAAACGTGGGTGCTGGTTTTTGGACCATCAAGAGCAAAACAAGCTACAACACCTCCCTGTCACCACTTGTGTCATCTGAGAAGAGAGAACATTTCTGATGCAACTAAGACAGCTGGCTCCAGGAAGCTTCCCTGAAGGATGACCCAAATGCCAGCCCACCGTTTGCAGCTCACCTCAGATCCCCTCCTCTGTTCTCGGCAGCCCACTGCCGTGCCTCTGACCCCCTCACTGAACAATGCAGTGAGCTGTGTGTTGTTTGCTTGCCTCGGACCACAGCGTTCCCTACCAGAATGTAAATGTCACGGGTTTAGCGATCGCTCCTCCAGCCGGAACCCCAGCACACAGTAGGAGCTTTCTCCCGACAGTGGGATTGCGTGAAACGTGTCTTGCTGGCTGTGGGCAGGTGGCTTGTGCTGAGTAAGAACGAAAACGGTGCCTCCTCGAGAAGCACTGAGTTAAGCTTCCGGTTTCAAGGCCAGCGTCTTGTGTGGGAGTGCCAGCTCAAGCTCTGGCTGCTCTACTGTCAGCCCAGCGCCCTGCTAATGTGCCTGGGAAGGCAGCAGCAGATGGCCCCATGTTACCCCCATGAGAGACTCAAAAGGAGTTCCAGGCTCCTGGCTTCAACCTCGCCCAGCCCTGACTATTATGGTCATCTTGCGCAGTGACCCGGTGGCTGGAAGATCCCTCTCTCTGGCTTTAACTGCGACTCTGTCTAATGTATAACTAAGTCACTTGTAAACAGAAGAAAATGAGTATTGCTGGTATTACTGGTGTGAGCTAGAGAGCCTGTTCCAGGGACAAAAGCCTCTGGGAAGCCCCCTTCTGTCCCCCAGACCCTCACTTACCCAGGGATAAGATGGGGAGATGGAGGGAGCCTGCTACAGTCTCTGATCTCTACGTTACAGGAACCCGGGACTTCTGTGCGGTTCCAGCGGTTGCCACTGTCTGTGCGGTGCACCCCACGGCTGCCTGACAGGCCACCAGCCGGCAGGAGCTGGCAGCAGGACCATCGCAGGAAGTCTTGGGAAGAGGAAGCTGAAAGTATACAACATTGCAAGTGAACAGAGCCACAGTGAGCGGATTGGGTGAATCCTACACTCAGGAACACATCCTTCCACAGGAGGCCATAGGGACCAGCCCAGGTAGGCACCTGCTGCCCGTGGGGCCAGGCCAGGAGGCTGGGCAGGCACAGTGCCTAGGACACATCCCTGTTCGTACTGCCAGCCAGCCACTCTGGCAAAGGCAGAAACGTGGTTTGGAAACAACCTCTGGAATCAGAACGGAGAAGAGGCAGATGGAGGTGGGGTGGGGAGTTTGGGGCTGGGGGAGGTGGAGGCTGGCTTCGTCAGAGCCTGTCGCCATCCAGGGTTTCAACCTCCCAGGGGCACAAATCTAGGGAGAAGCTACAGATGTGTGTTAGTGCTGTAGGGTGGGAGTCGGCAGGCAAGGTCTGCATGGAGCAATGACGCAGTCACACTGAGCCAGTGGCTATGAGGAGCTGGACAAGCATGTGCGTCATGAGTCGTCACTAGGGGGCGTGCAGCCACCAGGCGATCCAATCCCAGTAATAGTTCAAGGTTCCGTTGATTTCCTCACAGGGGATGGCAAGGAAATAAACAGACAGACCTGTAGGGAAATCAGTCTCCTGCGTGCCGTGTGTGCGCTGACCACCTGAGGGGACTGTGTGAGCGTCCAGCAAATTATGACTCCTTGCAACCTTCCTTCCTTGGCTTACATCCGCAAGTGCCAGCATCCCCTGTAGGCACCGGTTCATGTCCCAGCTGCTCCACTTCTGATCCACCTGTCTACTTATGGCCTGGAAAGACAGACGAGGCTGGCCCGAGTCCTTGAGACCCAGTGGCCACCTGGTGACCCAGAGGAGACATCTGACTCCAAGCTTTAGCTCAGCTCAGCTCTGGCCATTGTGGCCATCAGTTAAGTGAACTAGCAGGTGGAAGATCTCCCTCTCTGTAAATCTGACCTTAAAAAAAAAAAAGCTTCATAAAAACAGAAGGGGAAAACCACAGCATTTGACAAAATTGTATCCTTAAAATGGGATTGCTTCCTGTCGTCTAGGAAGGACTCCGTAGAGAATTGCCAATTGGGAGTCCCGTCTAAGACAAGTGGGTTTAGTAGGTACAAATGTGGAGGAAACAAAACTTAAGCTTCAGAAACAATATGTGAAGGGCCCAGGAGGAATGCCAGGTGCCAATGGAATTAAAAACAGTGATGGAACACGCTGGCTAAGAGGAAGGAAGATGGGCCCGACAGGTGCACGGCACGTGACCCCGTGGCCTTTCAGGAAGATGCCCTTGTGCCTGAGTGCCCACCAGGTCACCACGCAGAGGAGGAGCAGGCCCTGTGTGTGCCCCCCGCTTCGCAGCACTCGGTCAGCCTCTTTGGTGGGAACGGGCTCACACTCCTTGGTTCTCTGCTCTTTGGCAGGCAAAGAGGAGTGCAGCACTGGAAGCGCTAGGAACGCGTTCGTTCGTGCTGCCTCCACATGCTTGTTGCACGCTTCTTGGCACGGGGGCGGCATCGCTGCTGGGGAGTGTGGCCAACCCGCTGTAGCCGGGGTGACAACAGCGCCAGCGTTTTTGGAAAACTGCCTGACGGTGTCTGTCACTCCCGGATGGCAGTCCATGCTAAGGAAAAACACACAAATTTGAACTATTTTGTACATCCCAAGTTTTTCTTCGTAGGTTTTTTTGTTGGGAAAAATAACAACCGTGACCAACACATTGTCACTTGCCATAGAGGGCAGAATAAACTGCGGCAAATCCGTGACATGGCGTTTTAAGTAGCCAACGATGAATGCTGAAGATTGTGATGATTTATTTAGAAGCAGACCGAGCTTTGTGGTTCTCAGGGCCGTGCTCTCCCGAGGTAGGGGAACCATCGTGGGTTTTAGAGCTTAGAGACGAGCCGGGCTGCCGCTCTGTGACAGGGCCTTGAGTGACAGTGTTGGCTAACTCCTTGTGCCTCAGCGACTGGCATGAGGTGAGGAGGCGGCCTACTGGGCTGTTCTCATTATCACTCTGTTTTCTAGAGATTGTCGGCTCCTTCCTCTCAGAACGGGGCGTTCGCTCGGCGGGACTGCGAGTTTCGGCCACACGGTGGCGCCGGCGTGCCGGCTCAGAAAGTGAGGCGTTCCCGGCGGGGTCCAGCAGGGCGCGCTGCAGGCGGCGGCGGAGCCGGAAGCCGGGCCGGAGGCGCGCGGGCGTCCTGGCCGACTCCTCCCGCTTCCGTCGCCGCCGCGGAGCCGACTTGCAGCCTGCGTCCCGGCCCGTGCCGCTGCCGCCGCGATGCCGCTGGAGAACCTGGAGGAGGAGGGCCTGCCCAAGAACCCCGACCTGCGCATCGCCCAGCTGCGCTTCCTGCTCAGCCTGCCCGAACACCGTCGGGATGCGGCCGTGCGCGAGGAGCTGATGGCGGCCGTGCGCGACAACAGTGAGCGCCGAGTCAGCGGCCTAGGCGGGGCGGCGGGCAGGGCTCGGGGCGGCTGGTGCCGGGGCCGGGTGGGCTCCACCGTGGCCGGGGGGCCGGGATCGGGTGGGCTCCACCATGGCCGAGGGGCCGGGGCCGGGTGGGCTCCACCATGGCCGGGGCGGCCGGGGCTGGGTGGGCTCCACCATGGCCGGGGGGCCGGGTCGGCTCGGGGCGGCGTGGTCCGGGCAGCCGCCTGGGGAGGGGAAGGGAGAGGCTGGGGTCCGGACGACGGGCAGGACGCAGCTGCCTGGGGAGGGCAAGCGGTGGTCGGGCTCGCCGGGGCCGGGACCGGGGCAGATGGCGCCCACAGGCCTGCCTGGCCACCCGGTGCAGCCGGACTCGGTGCTGGGACCACCTGGAGTGGGTGGGACGACAGGTGTGTGTGTGTGTGGCACACACGGATGTACAACCGGTGTGTGCAGGGGGCCCTGGTATGTGAGAGAGGCTGGCAGGTGGACCGCGTGAGTGAGCATGTGTGTGTGCGTGTGGGAGGCTGGAGGTGGGCGCTGTGTGTGTGCGTGTGTGTACACAGGTGCACGACCTGTGTGTGCAGGGGGCCCGCGGGAGGGTGGAAGGCTGGCAGGTGCACGTGTGTGTGGGAGGCTGGAGGTGGGTGACCTGACTGTGGGCTGTGTGCGTGCTTGGTGGGTGCCCGACGTGGCCCGGCTCACACGGCCTCCTGCCTCTCAGACATGGCTCCCTACTACGAGGCCCTGTGCAAGTCGCTGGACTGGCAGGTGGACGCCGAGCTGCTGAGTAAGATGAAGAAGGCGAACGAAGACGAGCTGAAGCGCCTGGACGAGGAGCTGGAGGACGCCGAGAAGAACCTGGGGGAGAGCGAGATCCGCGACGCCATGATGGCCAAGGCCGAGTACCTGTGCCGCATCGGGGACAAGGTGGGTGGGCCGCGGCGAGTCTGTGGGCGATTGGCCGCACGTGGGTGTGAGGAGCAGCAGCCCTCGGGTCAGCACTGCAGGTGGGTGCGGCTTGGTTCAGGGGTGAAACCAGAGTGTCCTGGGGATCCCAGCGCATGTCTCCGTGCCGGGGAAGCCTCAGCCGTGCAGGGCAGCGTTTTTGGGCAGCGTTTTTGCTCCCTGGTTCCCCTCTTGCCAGGGGAGCTTGGGTGGGAGTGGCCCCTGGGACACAAGGCCAGTTAGGTTTTTCTTTGAAGAAACGGCAGCGTTCGGCTGCCTGCTGGAGTGAGGCTTGGTCGTTGGGCAGCTGTGTGCCTGCGTGTCGGCCTGGTAGTGCGGACAGCTGGCCTCCCGTGGGAGCGCCTGTAGGCTCAGGAAGCGGGGTTCGCAGTAGGTGCTGGCGGGTCTTGGGGGAGCCTGAGTCAGGGTGGCTGGAGCATGCACTGGTACCCTGTTAGGTGTGGCAGGTGGCCGGGTGGGCCACCCCACCGCCAGCCCCCTTGACGCTCCCTGCTTCGGCCTGAGGGCAGCGCGCAGGCCTGGGTCTGCAGGTGTGCCGGCTCAGCGCTCGTGATGAAAAGGATGGGCTTTCTACTGGTATCCGATTGTGTGCGGCAGGCCTGAAAAGTGTGGGTGTGTTTGCGGGTCGGCGGTTGAGTATTCGCGAACCTTCCTTGCGCGTCTGATTTGCTGTGGATTACAGTGGGGGCAGGAGCATGAAGTCAGTGTTGGAAAGCTGTGACATAGTGTGTCAGTCTGTTAACTCAAGCCTAGGTTATTGGCCATGGCCCGAAAAGCAGTCTGTGTTTACTGTAAGATGGGGTGCTGTGTTTGGCTTGGGTTTAGATGCGGTGTAAGCCTGCTGTGGTGAGAGATGGCAGCTGCTCCTTGAGGTGCCTGAGAGTTTCTCCCAAGACACGCTTGAGTCAACACTGAGTCAACACAGGCCTGCTAGGAGGGGTGACCGTGGGGTGTGGGAGGGAGTCAGAAAATTCCTGAATTTTGGAACAAATAGCATGGGTTTAAAAACATTTTAGCACTGAAAGTAGCTATGCTGTATGTTTACTAAGTAGCCTTCTTCTAAAAAGGATACCTTTTATAAAACTGACGTGCATTACCACATCAGTGACTGCTGGGTGCCCAGCCTCGTTGTCACCGTGGTTGTCACCGTGCTCCCACGGGGCCTCCCCGCCAGCGCAGGCCTGGTTCGCAGCTTCCCCTGACACTTCTGGCTCTTCACACCTGGCTTCCTGCAGGGAGGGGTAAGACTCGAGCCACGGCGGAAGTGCTCTTCTTCCTTCGCCCCTCTGCGCTGCTGGCTGTCTCATACATGTGTGAAGCACAAGAACTTTGTAAACTATCAGATAGGGCCCGACTACTGCAGACTGCAGGAAATGATTTTATGTTGTTGTTTTAATTATTTTATTTGAAAGGCAGATTTTTTTTTTCTCTTTAAGATGAGGCAGAGCTCTTCCATCTGCTGATTCAGTCCCTAATGGTCACCGCCGCCAGGGGCTGTGCTGGTCCCAGGCCGGGAGCTGCTTCCGTGTCTCCAAGTCCCATCTTTGGCTCTTTTCCCAGACATGTTATGTGGATTGGACGTGAACTCCCTGTGTGGGATGGCAGCGCTGCAGGAGGTGGCCTGACTTAGGCAGGGTGCTGGCCCCTTGTGTTGTCTATTAAAGCAGTAGAAACATTCCAGAATGCCTTGACAATTGAATGTGTATTCAGTTGTATTCTAACAGTAACAGCCTTTAAACGACAGGAGGTCAAGTTTACTGTAAACATACTGTGAGGTATATTGCAGCCATGAGAGCAAAGCACCGAATAGAGCACAGAAGACAGTGTAACAGTTGTGAATGCTTCATACATTTTTTTTTTAAGATTTATTGATTGATTTTTTTTATTGGAAACTTAGATATACAAAGGGAAGGAGAAACAGACAGATCTGTTGTCTGCTGATTCACTCCCCAAGTGGCCACAGAGGCCGGGCTGCTGCTGAGCCAATCCGGAGCCAGGAGCCTGGAGCCTCTTCCGGGTCTCCCACACAGGTGCAGGGTCCCAAGGCTCTGGGCCGTCCTCCACTGCTTTCGCAGACCACAGGCAGGGAGCTGGATGGGAAGTGGGGCTGCTGGAACATGAATTGGCGCCCATATGGGATCCCAGTACGTGCAAGGTGAGGACTTTAGCCGCTAGGCTACTGTGCTGGGTCTCATTGCTTTCTAAAATGTGAAGAAAATACTTAAGTGATTTTTAGGTTTGTTTTTTTAAATAAGTGCGATTAGCCCTCCGGTGCCTGTCCTAGCTTCACCAGTGAAGAGGTCATGGGCGTGTGGCTTTGTTGTTTTGTGTTCCCCACTGTTTGAGCAGCTTGCAAGCATTTTTCACCTGTAGCCTTGCTTGCTCGCCAGGAGGGAGCTCTGACAGCCTTCCGGAAGACATACGACAAAACCGTGGCTCTGGGTCACCGGCTGGACATCGTGTTCTACCTCCTCCGGATTGGCCTGTTTTATATGGACAATGATCTCATCACACGGAACACGGAGAAGGCCAAAAGGTACGTGTTAGAAACGATGCTGTGAATGGGAAACTGCCAGAAGCAAGTTACCTGTTTGGTTTACAGCTAGAAAGCTTGGGTAACTAATTGATGTGCTTGATGGCTTCCTCCGAAAAGTGACAGTGTCTGTTTCCATGTTGACCTGATTGTTTTTATTGGATAGCTTAATTGAAGAAGGAGGAGACTGGGACAGGAGGAATCGCCTGAAAGTGTACCAGGGGCTTTACTGTGTGGCCATTCGTGACTTTAAGCAGGCAGCTGAACTCTTTCTCGACACTGTGTCAACATTCACATCCTATGAACTCATGGATTATAAAACGTTTGTGACCTACACTGTCTACGTCAGCATGATTGCTTTAGAAAGACCCGATCTCCGGGAGAAGGTAAGGACAGGCGCTTGGTGACGCGGGCTGACGCTGCCATGGGCTTCTGTAACACGGGCACGTGGACGCCCCGAGAGCAATCCCTGTGTGTGCTTGACCCCTAGGTCATCAAGGGCGCCGAGATCCTGGAAGTGCTGCACAGTCTTCCAGCAGTGCGGCAATACCTGTTCTCGCTCTATGAGTGTCGTTACTCGGTTTTCTTCCAGTCTTTAGGTAAGGACGGAGCTGCTCCTCTCGGGAGTGTGCACATTAGCCCGAGCCTGGCTGCCGGCGGCTGGGATGCTTTGTGACAGGTCTGAACTGGAGTGTGCAGTGTGTCTGGGTCAGTGTGGGCTGCCTCCCCAGGGCCCACGCAGAGCTGGGGCAGTGGTGGGCCCTGCCTAGGTGTGGTTCAGGAGGCGAGAGTGACTGTTAATTTTTCCCAAATGTTCAGGAAGGAAAAGGGTATGTGATGGACATGCTGCTCGCAAAGCTGGAAGCCGCTTGCTTCTAGCAGTTAGGTGAGAACGTGAGCCACACGCAGAAAGGAGCAAATGGACCGGAGGGTTGAGTTTTACAAAGAAGGGAGAGGATTCCAAATCTTGTAGGTTATTTTCGCAGTAGATAAATCTTGGTGTTTGCTTTCAAATCATTTTCAGGCTCTGTGGGTTGGGATAATCTGTTGAGATTGCGGGAGTTCCTGCAGGGCTCGTTCCTGGTGACCGCCTCCACGTGTGAGCTTGTGTCTCCTCCCACCCTTCCTGGCTGATGGAGTTTCCACCATAGGTTCCCTTCCTACCTGACTTGTTTGCCAACAGAATTGTGTCAGTGTGTGCAGTCCTGCAGCTGTGTAAGATGTACAGGCCTTCCCAGTTAGCGTCAGCAGCGTGAAATACTGCAGATCCTAAGGCGTTGTGAAGGTCTGTACTCTAGAGTTTACAGCACGGTAGATTTAAATATACACAACAAACACTGACAGTGTATTTCCAAGTAGCCCGTTAGTCCTTACCAAATTATGTTCTTAACACTTGTGTTTTTAAATTTTTGTTTGGAATGCAAAAAACATCTATTACCTCACTCCTCAAATGCACACGAAACCTAGGGCCTGCGCCAGGCCAAAGTCAGAGCCTGGCAAGTCTCCGTTTCTGCTGTGGATGGCAGATTCTTGACAGTTATGCCAACACCCACCTCTTCCCTTCAACCCTTTCGTTGATGGAGTCTCACCCCTGTGGATTTTAGAAAGTGTGCGGCATTTGTCAGAATGGCAAGGGAGGAATCCCCAATGATCTGCATGTGCACTGGAGTCTGGCCCAGTGCTCTGTATACAGTGGAGGCTGCTGGGGGAATGCCTGCTGTCCACCCACCCCACCGCATGACATCAGAACTGTGCTCTCCAGCGGGAGCAGTGACTTGTTCTCTCATGTGTATATGTTGCTTTTGTGAAATTGTACTTGCCTGCTGCTTGAGGATGTCCTTGTTCATTATCACAGCATATCCAGGAGCTTTCCCCTACGTGCTGGCATCCAGTCTGTCTGCATTCCTGAAGCACCTACTGCCACTAATCAGTCACTTGGAAGTGTGCGATTCAGGGGTACGATTGAGGTCTTGCAGCTGTACACACATTCTAATGGAGTTGGGTCACTTCATAGTGAAGAGTACACGTTAGCAGTCACTCCCACTCTTCCCCTCCTGCAGTCCCTGGCAAAGCCCGAGCCACTGTCGGTGAGTTGATGCTTTCTGGACAGCACACAGACAGCAGGTGCCCGCCTTTAGTGCCGGGCATTCAGTAGTGTGATGTTTTCCTAGTTCGTCCTTGCCGAGTGTGCTGCGGTATTTGTGGCGAGTGAGTCGCATTTTATCCATTTAGTAGGTTATAGCTTTGGAGCTGTTTCTTTTTGGCTGCCATGAAAACTGCCTTGCTGAGCACACGTGCTCATGGTTTTGTGCAGGTGTCTTTTTTATTTTTCTTGGGTATGAATGCCTAGGAATCAAATTGCTGGATTTTGTGCCCTTTGAGGAGTTGCCAGGCTGTATGCCAAAGGACTGCAGCGTGGGCACTGCTGACCCATGTGGTCTCAGCGAGCGGGCCCCACTGTGGCTGACAGGCCTTCACTGGCCGGTGCTTGCTCCTTGCCATGTGCCCAGGGCTGAAACAGCCATGGTTTTGTCAGTCTTTTAATTCTTCTGCTGGGTAAACGTTTTGGAAACTGACATTCTACTTTTTTTTTTTTTTTAAACCATGCTGTCCCTTCTGCAGTGTGTATTTTGGATGCTCTTTTCCTAGTGAAGTGAAACTGATGGCTTTGGAAACGCTGCATGGCCAAGGGGGACAGCTCTATCTGTCCCCATCCCTGCTGGCAGCCTGGCACTGTGTGCAGTGCTTTGGGTGGAGCTGCTGCTCTGTACTAAATTTCCAAGGAGAGTTGACTCTGGTTATCTTTGCTTGTTTAGTGAGAGATGTGTTGCTTTTTGGGTTTTGTCTTCTGCAAATATTTGTGGATTATTAAGCTTTAATGTACTTTATCCAAAGAAGTTAGTAGTACCCTTTCTGGGCATAGCTTGATAGAAACTAACAGTAGCACAAAGTGAGATGTGCTGATCCCATCCCAGTCTCTCAATCCATAGCACGTTTTCTCACACAGAATTGAGATCAGCATTTTCATGTTTTGTGAAACCTGCACTAGAATTAATGACATGTACACACGGCGAGCTGTCAGCTGCTCCCACAGGAGACGTTCTCTAACCTGTGGGTCCCTACTGTCCTGTCTCAGACAGGCAGGTTGGGGATTTCTGTGTAGAGATGCAAGCATGGAATGCTTCTGGCTGTGTGTTTTCCATGTGTGTTTATGCATGCTTTCTAAATCACTTTCTGCACAGTGTAATGCACAAAAGCTTTTCCTGTCACTTTTCAAATAGTCACTCAGCCAATAAATGCTTTTATGTGGCTGCTTTATACCCGACAGTGAGCATACAGTGGGGAACTAAGTAAGTGGAGCTTCCAGCTACACCTTATTTAAAAGGTGAACAGTGTGCGCCTGGTAACAGCTGTGCTGCACAGATGTGACACCAGTTCACCTTCTGCAGCACGTACGCTTTTCTTGCTATGGACCTTTTCCTGGGCTCTGAGCCAGTCCCCATGGACAAAGGACTGGAGTGATCTCTGCTGTGGCGGCGACTGAGCACGAGTGCGCCATCTCGCGTGCAGCGACTGGCCATCCCGTGTTGTTGAAGCAGCTGTTCCTCACTTGCCTGCTTTCCTGGTGACCACTCCTGCCTTGTCCTCCTGTCTGTGTTCTCTGGTTCGACAGTAACGCCCTTTAGGGATTGGTCCACAACCCCCTACCATAGAGCATGTCGTTGCCCTTGTCATCTGTGTGAACAGTGGTGATTCCCAGATCGCTGTGTCTAGCCTCACACTTTACACTGAACACACATCCCTGCCTTTATTCATCTGACTGTCTCCTGGGCCAGCCTGCTTGGGATCACAGCTCACATACTTTCCAGTGCCATCTTGCCCCAGCCCCAGCCCTGGAACAGGCACCCACAATCCACTTCATCAGGGGCTTCCATCCTCTTTATGTCACTGACGCTCATTAGTGTCTTGTCTGGCTGGTCCCTGAGCCTGGCCCCTGGCTTAGTCCTCTGCCTGGTAGCCTTTTATTTCATCAGCATTATTCTCTGCCTCTGCCCTCCCCAGCTCCTAGGAGAGGCTTTCTACTCTGTTCCATCCCTGCTTACTCGTTAGTGAACTTGGCATGCTCTGAGGTCATTTGTATTTTTGTGCCTGGCTCTTTGACAACCTAGCATCTCTGGCAGCACACATCTTATCTTGGTTTATCTTATCTTACTCAACTGACTAGAGCAGTGTATGCAGCACTGCTTCTGTTGGATACTTTGTGTAAGTGCTGCTTACTTGCTCATGAATAGCCTATATGCATTTTACTATTTGTTTCTGACTTAGAAGCTCTTTCTAGGTCAAGGCTGTTAACTCCTGTCAGGTTTGTCGTGTGTCTAAACCTTAAGGTATTTTGCTATCTAGGCTATTTATTATTTATATACACAATATAGTTATAAAATATATGCACAAAATATATATAGTTATATGAATGTAAAATTTTTAATTTATGTATAAATGTATAGATGAATTTCTATTAATTATGTATATGAAGATTTGTGTATTTTTATTGGGAAGGCAGATTTGTAGAAAGATCTTCCAGGCACAGGCTCATTCCCCAAATGTCTGCAGTGACCAAATCTGAGCTGATCCAAAGACCGGAGTTTATTCTGTGTCTCCCACATAGGTACTGGCTCCCCAGGCAATGGGCCATCCTCGACTTTCCCAGGGCACAAACCAGCACCAGTATAGCATCCTGGGACTTGCAGGGGGAGGATTAGCCAGTTGAGCCGTTGGGCCGGGCCCCATTTATTTTTCTTTTAATGGTATTCACTGATCTTTCCCCTTATTGCCTCTGTCATTTTGTGGGAACGTCTGTTTTCTAGTCCATGCCAGTCTTTCCCAGGTCATTGTACCTACTTCTTAGAATTCTTTTTTGTTAAGAGTAAAGTGAATATTCATTCACTTCAGAGCTAAAGTTTTCCAGTTTGAAATGTTCGTGTGTGAACTTTGTCATCACAGCTTCCTTCACAGGCGAGTCTTGCTGAGTGCTATGTAATGTTGACATAGCTCTGTCACTGGATGTGAGGAGGAAGGACAGAGCAGTGAGAAAGTCTTTGAATGTTATCCAGCTCAATTTAGAACTCTGCTAGGTTTTTGTTTAATGTGTAATTAGGTTTTCTTTAGCCGCCTCTGGGGGTCCCACACGGGTGCAGCAGGGTCCCAAGGGTTTCGGTCTTTCTCCACTGCTTTCCCAGGCCCCAGCTAGGTAGGAAGTGGAGCAGCCAGGGGTACATACTATTGCCCATCTGGGATCCCAGTGCATGCAAGGTAAGGACTCACTAGGCTGCCACATTGGGACCTGTTAGGTTTTTAGTCTCCTGTTCTTCAAGGAGGAATGCTTCTAATTTGTCATTTTATTCATTTCAGCCATTGTAGAACAGGAAATGAAAAAGGACTGGCTTTTTGCTCCTCATTATCGATACTATGTGAGAGAAATGAGAATCCATGCATACAGCCAACTGCTAGAGTCGTACAGGTCATTAACCCTTGGCTACATGGCAGAAGCCTTCGGTGTTGGAGTGGAATTCATTGACCAGTAAGTTTAAGTAACATCCTCTTCAGCTTTTAGTATGCGTTCTCCTGATTTGCACTGTTCTCCACAATTTTAATACAGAAAATAACTGCTTTCTAATTTTATCAAACCAGGCCTGTGTCTCTGCCTTTATTTTTCTCTTCCATTACTAGATGGAAAACCAAGCTGTGGTGATTTGCTAAGTTAAGGGGTTTGCTAAAGGGTTGTTATTGGAAATAGAGTGCCACTTGTTTGTGGACCATAATATAGTATTTTATAGTTGGTCATGTTTCTGCTGGCAGTTCTTTCCAGTCTAGGCAGCTGCTGTAGTTGTGGTCCAGTTGGTACTTAAAACCGTGGCGTCAGTGCTGCACTGCGCTAGCTCCCTGTCTTCCTGAGCTGTGTCCTGCAGCCAAAGGGGAGACATGGCAGACAGGCAAGTCAAAAAGGTAATTTCCAGTGGAAAGGTGTGTTTGCTTGTGGGATGACGGAAGAAAGGTGATGTGTCTTCTGCATGAGTTGAGAGGAGCCAGTCATGAGAGAGGAAGGGACAATAAATCAGGCTGTGGGACTGGACACCTAGCTGCTTCCTTGTGGGATAGTGTTGGGGTCGAGTTTTAATCTAGGTTGTGGGTAGCCAGTGGCAAGTTGAGCACGGTGTGAGATGGTTCGTGCTGTATTTGAGAGCACTGGGAATGTTACACAACTGGAATGTGGTGGAAGTCTAGAGTGATGCTGGTTTTAAGGAATGAGGGACTGTGAAAGGGTCCTGCAAACAGATGATACTAACCTGTGCATACTTTTTGTATTTCCCGTTAGCTTTGAGTTGCAGGTAAAGACAGATGTTATATTTGCTGATTAGTTGCCCAAATGGCCATGAGGTGGCTGGGGCTGCTTTTCCCAGACATGTTAGAGTGGAATGGCTGGTATGTGACCTCATATGGGTGTTAAGCTATGCCTGCAACGACAGTATCAACTGGCTTCACCACTATGTGGGCCCCCAAACTGATTTTAAATAAGACCATTCTCTTTTTTAATTGTTTTCTCCAGTACTTTATTAAGAAAACTGGAATACAACTTCATTGTGAATTTTAATACTTTGTTACATTTAATCCTGTTGCAGGAGCCCAAGCACTTGGGTCTTCTGTTGCTGCTTTCCCAGGTACAGGATCAGGAGACGCTGTAATTGTAGGTGGGCCCTGGGACTGGAAGGGGCGCCCAGCAGTAGCTCTCAGCAAACCTGTGCGGTGTTTCATTTCCGAGCTGCCCTATAAGGAATCCAAGTGTGGTAACGACCGTGCAGTCTGTACAGATAGGGTGGACGGGAATGGCCTGGAGTATGCAGTGCAGGGGGAGCAAGACTTACCCTGGCCTGGCACCTGGGCCCTTGGCTCTGCACCACCTACTCCTGACGCCTCCCGTTGCTGGGATCCTGATCAGACCAGATGGGATCTGAAGTAAAGTGTTGTCCTCTTTCCGCATGCCACCTGTTGGAGAAAAGGAACACAGGTTGAGTGAGAAGTTCTGCTTTTAGATGTTTTATTGGAGAACAGTTTAGTAGTTTACTGGGGAAAAACTAAAAATAACAGATCTCCCTGCATTTCCTATGACATGCATTGAATGTGCTCTCCATAAAGCTAATGCAGTTCTTTCCTGTGCACCAGGGAACTCTCCAGATTCATTGCTGCTGGGAGACTACACTGCAAAATAGATAAAGTGAATGAAATAGTAGAAACTAACAGGTACTGCTGTGTGGTATTGGTTATATTGCTTACAATGAAGAGCGTTCTTAATGTTTCTCTGTCATGCATTGATGTCCTGGTGAATAACATTTTTTTCCTTGCATTTGTTTCTAGACCTGATAGCAAGAACTGGCAATACCAAGAAACAATCAAGAAAGGAGATCTGCTGCTAAACAGAGTTCAGAAACTTTCCCGAGTCATCAACATGTAACAGAGGGTTACCTGTGAAGATGCTTTGGGATTGTTATAGCTTCACCCTGTATGCAGTTCAGCTATGTAAAATAAGTTGTTTAAAAGGAAACAAAGTAAACAGTCTGATAATGCTAAAATAATGCCTTTGATTGTTCATTAGTAAAAATGTTTTGTCACTTCGGGTTCAGATCAGGGTACACCGAAGACTGAACAAGTTCATTCTCTCACACCTCGAAGCTGATCTTTACTGAGGGATACTACAAAGTATCCCTCAGTGAACAGCACACAAGTTACGTTTTTAGGATGCTGCCACAAGCTGGATTACCAATATCCCTGAACAGAGCAGCATTCAGAGTTAGTTCTTTAAATGCTCTGTAATTGTTTGCTTCCTAGTGATAAAGCATGAGTCAGGTAACAGCGATGAATTTTGCCAAGGACAAAGGAGCACATCTGAAACAACATGATAGTCAACAGGGCTTTGCTCTTACGGGATGTCATCTTACCAGACATGGCATCCATGCCGTTCACGTCCAGGAGAAGAGAGATGGCAAGAAGTGCCACTTTCTCTGTGGCGTAAGAGTGCTAGCCTGGGTGTGTCAGCAGGAGCTCCAAAGCGCTCTGGCTGGAGTTAAAGAGGCCTGCTGACCGAAATAAGCAGTGTTAGTAGAAGAAATAGTTTTTGCTGTTGCCTGATGGGAATGACCCGTTAACATGGGATCTCACTGGCTAGAAAACAACTTGGTAACTATATTCTATACTGCTTTATGAATAATAGGTTCACCATTATGAACCAGGCACCGTTAATGGGAGCTCTGAGGGTGCTGGTGTGCCAAGGCAAACTGAGCTCAGTTCTCCAGAAGTACCACCCAGGGGGCTCTGACAGTGCCCACTGTGGCAATCTGCTGTTTGCTAGGAAAGCTTTTTTGGTAAAACCCTATTCTTTAAGAAATGTTTACACTGTACCCTTCAAAACTGCAAACACAAAGTCAGTGAGGTGTCTGTGAAACCCAACAGGTTTAGAACTTACTGTAGTCCATGTAGACAGACAACTGAATTCTTTTTACCAAATGGACTTTCATTGCACCTCATGCTAGAAAGAAAACAGAATAAAAAAATTTCGTGGCATGTTTTTCCCCTAATGCCCAGCTACCTGACCGGGACTGACAGGATGGCATTCTCTCTCACGCTCGGACCTGTGCACAAGTCTACACACCTTCTGATCCTCAGCGTCAGATGCACTGTCCCGTTTTTCACCATTTTAACGCGAATGTCCAAGCCTAGTGGGTGATGACAGGCAAGAGCTTTTCCTTTCCAATGCGGCACGAGGAAACGCCCCCGCGGTGACAGCAGGATTGCTCAGTCCGCTCCCTTCCCCTCACCTGCAATAGATGCACTTGCCAACTGTCAACATGGAGAATCATCATCGGAATGTTCAGACCTCTGCATATGTAGTTTTAAATATACTTCTTATAAATAATATGTACATTTAACCTTTGTTATTCTATCTGCATAAGCTGTTAGGCTCAGAGAAGCAGTTTGGAGTTGGAACTGTAATCAGCATTGAACAGATCTTCTCGTATGAGGCCACAGCATGGGGGCAAACAGCCCTGCTGGACACTATGACAAGAAAAGCCAAATTTTGGCCCTTGTTCTGCATAGCAGGTATCTGACATTGGGGGAAATGACTTCATCTCTGTCTGTCTCCTAATGTAAAATAGAATTTTAAAAAATTAAGATTGAGGTTCATTGGAAATAAGGCAAACCACAAAGCAGCATACCAAGTCATCCTCTAATTACATTAAAAAGCCTCAGTGAAAGCTGCTGGCATATTACAGACCCTGTGTCACACCAGACTGTCTTAGACTTCATGAGTACTAATTTCAACCCTGATTCCTTTCTAGCAACTTCATTATTGTGGCCTACATGTGATTCCCAACTCCTTGTCCTACGCTAGTTTCCACACAAAACGGCTAGCCAGGCAAGCAGAGTCAGGATGCACTACAAGTTACAAATCCCTCCACATAGACTCTCAAGTCAAAAGTTAACCCACAATCACCACCCCAGGGGCAGACTCTGTTGAGAAATCTTGTTTCTCTGCTCGGACAGATGAGGCTGAGAACGTGAATTTTGTCAAGCCAGCCAGCAGCCGAGTTCTCCAGCATGCTCGCCTGCAGCTGGCCTGCCGCTTAAGTTCTGCCCTCTGCCACCTGACTGTTACCCATGTCCTGTACTCAGGATAGCAGGAGTCAGGTTGGGGGCCAGCAGCCTCTGTGTTAACCAGAGAAACTAAAATGATTAAAAGAGTATACATATCATCCACTTAAAAGGCAGAGAGAGGAGGCAGAGGTATTTCAGTCCACTGGTTTGGTCCCCAGATGCCTACATGGCCAAGACTCCCCCTGCCAGGTGGGTAACAGCTCAACTCCTGAGCCAGTACTCAGCTCCTAGGATATATCAGCAGAAACTGGACAAAAAGCCCACCTGGAACTTGAACCAAATTGGAATTTGGAGGAGACTGGAGTGTTCCAAGCTTGGCTTAATCAAACAATGCACTACCACGCCCACCCCCTCTGGCCAGGTAATTCTGACCCAATATCCTACACGGGGAGCTCCCACTTTCTGTTTAACTTTTTAAAGTCTAGTCAACAATAGCACTTCAGAATATGAAAATATTATCAAGTGATAGTTCTGTTACCTAAGTGACAAAAAGCAAAAGAATTTTTCATACCTGGTGACTTTTTAAAGTTGAACACTTCTGCTCTGATGGCTCATTACACCCTGTCCTAGAGTGAAATGCATCTTTCATGACTTCTTTAAAGCAGCAATGCCAACTTCATTTACCTGGACAAAATTGCTACATACACCCCAGCATATGGACATAAAAGCAGAGATAAACATTAGAAAAAAATTCGAGCTTACTGATTAGCAGGTACAATCCATAAAACTTATGTTAAGAATCTGCACCCAGTCTTTGACTTGCCTTGACACAGCTAAAATAACATGGTACAATAGCCTAGTGGCTAAAGGCCTCACCTTGCAAGAGCCAGGATCCCATATGGACACCGGTTCATATCTTGGCTGCTCCACTTTCCCTACAGTTCCCTGCTTTTGGCCCAGGAAGAGAGTAGAGAATGGTCTAAGACCAAGACACGGAAGAAGCTCCTGGCTTCAGATCAGCCCAGCTCCATTGTGGCCACCTGAGGAGTGAACCAGTGGACAGAAGATCTTTCTCTTTGTACATCTGCCTTTCCAATTAACGCCCCCCCAAACCCCCCCCCCAAAAAAAAAGCTACAATGCCTCCTGTCTCGGCATGTGACGCGCAATCTCATGTTTGGTCCTTAGTATCCTGACAAGCAGAAACAGTAATCGGCATTCCAGTCCTCTGTTCCTGACTCCAGCTCCCTATGACGAGGGCCAAGTCGCTGGGGCCCTGCCACCCATGGGCGTGACCAGCTACGGCAGCCTCAAGTCTCTCCAGTGGCCACGGGACATATAGCCCAATTCCTATCTAGATTCTAAGACTGCCAGCTGGGGTTCTCCCACTGTTATTCTGAGGTTTCTGAAGACTTTACCCAAGGGGTAGAAGCCTTCTCCAGCTAAAGTACAGGCCAGAGAGAGACGAGCTTTTTATCATTTGGAAGCCTTTCAGAACTTTAACACCCTATCCCAGGACTAGATTTAAGAAAAAGAACAGTAAACGATTGTCCAGTCCCCTGCCAAAGTGATCATTTAGGGGCCCACTGCTGTGGTGTAGTAGTTAAGCCGCCTCCTGCTGTGCCAGCATTCCGTAAGTGTGCTGGTTCCTGTCCTGGTTGCTCCATTTTTCAAGTAACTGCCTCTCTGCTGATGGCCTGGACAAGCAGTGGAGGCTGGCTGATGTCCTTGGGCACCTGCACCCATGTGGGAGACCAGGAAGAGATTTCTGGCTCCTGGTTTTGGATCTGCTCAGCTATAGCCATTAAAGCCATTTAGGTAGTAAATCAACCTATGGAGATCTTTGTCTCTATAAATCTGCCTTTGCAATACATATACATCTTTTTTTAAAAAAAGATTTATTTACTATTTTTACTGTAAAGTCAGATATACAGAGAGGAAGATCTGTCTGATGCGTCACTCCCCAAGAGGCTAGAACGGCTGGAGCTGAGCCATCCTCAACTGTTTCCCCAGGCCACAGGGAGCTGGACGAGAATCGAGGCCGCCAAGATTAGAACCGGCGCCCATATGGGATGCTGGTGCATTGAAGGCGAGAACTTTACCTGCTATGTTATCGTGCTGGGCCCAATACATATAAATCTTAAGAAAAAAAAAAAAAAGACCATTTACTCAAGCCTTCCGGTAGGTGGTTCCCTGAGACCTACCCAGCCCTGCTCCTTTTAGAACATTTGCTTTTCCAAAACATGAGTCAACTTTCAAACTCTGATGCAAAAAGTGGGATTTTAAATGGTGTCTTTTGGCAAACAGAAGAATCCTGCAACCATGCACAGTTTCCATTCACTGTTTTGAAGATGCCTTACACATATCGAAGGAGCAGACGATGTTGGCATGCCCTAGGCTTCCTTTTTCAAGACTCTGCTATTCCTGACAAGCCCTGGGTTAGAGGCTGTCCATCCACCTCCATCTGGGTGGGAATGGGGGTCCAGAAGAAACCTGCCATTTCCTAGCCCCTTGCTGTCTGCCCTCACATGGCACTGGCACCTTCAGTCTCTCCTGAGAGGCGCTTTGCCCCGCTCCATAGTGCTAACATCCCAGGCCTTGGAGTCACGGCCCCCTGTTCATCCTAGCTCACTTCAGACGTGATGAACCCTAACTGCTTTAGAAAGGACAACACACACAGCATCCTGCAGTCTGCCCTTGGGGCCTTTTCTTGAAGGCTACTCCCATCCATTGCCAGGGTCTCCCCCAGTAGTCCCAACAATCTATCAACAACTCCATTTCTGAAACCTGCATTTCTCCCGTGGGTCTGGTCTTGCGCCTCCATCCTCGTCTGAGGCCACGTGTTGGTAACTCCAGGGCTCTAGGCCTCCCTTAGGGAGGAGTGTAAACCCATTCCTTACACATAAGCTCTGCTTTGACATCAAGTGGACCTGACTCTGTGATGTTGAACACAACACCTGGCTAATCTAGGATTATCTCAGAGGATGACTGGACTTAACTGGAAGCTCCTCACAACCAAAATCTTGTCCAAACAGGGTCTTGCAGACATGCTACCTGTTAGCTTCAGCTTCTGGTTCTCAACTACGCAATCCATGCCATCTGCACTGAGACAGCTCCCCGCAACTGCTTCCATTCATTAGCAATGTCCCTGGCCAAGTTGTCTGAACTTTCCAACCAATGTAATTATCCTGGATAAAGACAGAACCAACAGCTGCTGTATGGAAAGGAGTCACTTACGGCCCAGCCTTCCATCCCCCTCACCTTTTACTCTGCAGTGTTGGGCCTGCCCCTGTCTTCACTGGAACACCGGCACTGTGTGCAGGAGTTTGTCCTGGGCTTGCCTTTCTCCAGTCTCTGGACATGAGCCTAACTCTAACCCTAACTCTGGACATGAGCCTCCACACATGGAAATGGACTAAGAGGTGTGGCATGCCGGGCCTCCGTAGGGTATGATTGGTAACTTCTTTCACATGATTCTTGGAGTCTGTGACCCAAAATATATATACATACATACAATAAAATGATTAGGAGCCACAGTTTCAAGTCTTGAATTCAGTAGTTCATAGCTCGGTTCTGCCAACTACTGGCTAGATAATCACTCTGAGAGTCCTTCCAAGTTCCACATCGGTATCACCAGGGACAAAATAACCTCCAAAGGCAAGGGCTTGCTGAGCGTAAGCAATCAAGCTCTTGGCACAGCAGCCAGCCTGTGAGGTACTTCACAAGGTGAGTCTAATACACACGTGTTTTTTCCAGGTCAGCCCCCCAACTCATCATCTAAAGTGCAAGAAAAACTCCAGGGCCTGCAATATACCTTGAACCTACCTCCTAGAACTCAGCCTGGATCTTGCCCTGGCCACTCGTCGCTCTTACCACATAACTCATGGGAAGCTCTCTTCAGCCAACCTCACATCTGTAGATTCTCAGACCCCTTAGCCTTTTACCTCAGCTCCAGGCCTGTGGGTTTTACCTTTAAGTGATTTTTGCAACTGGTCCTCTCTGCCCCCATAGTCTAAGGCATCGCCTGGAAACCAGTAACTTACCTGGAAAATGTACAGGTTTCGTCACGCTTTCATTCCGCCGGTCTCAGCTGGCCATCCTGTTGTTATCCGCACTTATTACTGGAGGGGCCTATGGGAAGGAGATCATAATTTTAAGTGTTGGGTTCTTCCCTTTCCCTTAAAATGTTTCTTTTGGCTGACAGTCTCACACCCTGCCCACCCCCAAGGGACCAACAGCTTTGGTTGTGGGACATGAGTCTAACAAGTACCACAAATTACGGCTGGGTTCCTTTATTGCCACCAGCAATAGGGGCAGGAGGAACTACAAGAGAAAAAGGAGAAGGGCCAGGGCCTGAGGCTTGATTCAGAGACAACTTTCTTGATGAGGATTAGACAAAGGGGAGTGAAAGCAAATGTTTTGAGGTGAAAGAGTGAAGATCCAAGAAAAACACTTCTGTGTACCTGTGATTTTCCAGTCTCCAGGTTCCATAAAACTCAAGGTCCTGGATAAACCAACACCAACTTCTTCATGCAAGACGAATTGCTCCTCCTGTCCATTTCTTGACTCCTGTGTGCCCCTTGTTTATGTTCTCTGTGTAGGACAGTGGTGGGGAACTTGTGGCTCACAGGCTACATAAAACCTGTGAAATGTGGTCTGATCCTGCCACTTCAGGCAACTGCAGGCAGGACTCAAAATTCATTAGTTTAGGCTACTTTCTAATGGTTAATCCTGTAGGGCTCCCAGATAATTTGTAAATATTCAAGCAGCCCATCCCCCACCTGCCGGCCCTACAATGACTTTCCCTTGGCCTTTCTGCTGGGAGCAATCCTGTTGGCCCAGCCCCAGCCCCCTTCCTTGAGCTAGTCTCACTCTCCAGAGCCGGGTGACCTGTCAGGGACCGTGTCACTACGCTGGGACAGTGAGCAGGGAGCTTTTCCCTGCGGGCGAGAGACCAGCCAAGCTGGGCACTGCTCACAGGACACTGCTCACGCTTGCACCGTCACCTGACATCCACGCGCCAACACACAAAGCACTTGCTCCTTTCACTTCAAACCAGATTTTCATGAATTTACCAGAACAACTGACTAGCAAATAGCAAAACTGGCCATCCTTGGAAACATGAGATTTTACTGTACGCTGAGTATGACTGAAATGTGGTTGGCCTTTCCAGTAAGGGACGTATGTGTAAGCCAGGCAGAGGGCAGACAAGCTCGGGATTAAAACCTTTCCCTCCAACCAAGCCGACCATATGTCATCCAACTTAGACATAAGGAAGTTCAAAAAGAATCGGCTGTTCCTCTAGTGTCTCCTCCCCGCAGTCTCCCTCACCAACCTGCGGAGCCAGGACACAGCAGCGCTTACTGTTGACTCGGCCACTAGCGCACCCAGGGCCAGGCTGCCAGGCTTCCTGCCCGGGAGCGGCGATCTTCCCGGGCACGGTGGGGAGGCTGCAGTGAAGGTCCCTCCCAAGGCTGGTCGGTTCAGGATCACGAGGCAGAAACATGTCACATAGTTCATGCAGCCAACCTTATTTATTGAGAAGTCCTAATTTTATTGCCCGTTTAGTAACATGTTGTTCCACAAACTAATTTCTCATAAAGCAAAGCACAACTTTTTCTTATAAATAGTATAAATTATTTTATTTACAGAAACTTGTTACAAAACAAATAGACTATATATTTCTTCTCTTTTAAATATCCAAAGTAATTTTCTATCCCTTGACATTTGTTCTTGTTCTATACAGCAGCCAACACAAGTCCAGCTGAGATGCTCTTGATTATGTGTACAAATCATCAAACTACTCACACATTTTAACACAGGAGATTGCTTTTAGAACCAAGCTCAAAAAAACGTAGCAGAATGCTGTCCAGCCCTACATTCACACTGACAGTATGTAGTGCTCATTTAAATGATCTGAAAACATAAAATGTTTTGCACAAAATGTAAAAATGATTATTTTCTGTTAAACAGCAAACAAAACTTCTACCATCAGTTTCCGAAGCCCACCATGTTCTCCACCCAGGACACAATGAGAGACGTTAAGAAATTCCTTGGCAACAAAACTCTCTCGCAGGAAGACAGCTGCCTTAGTAAGTCACGTTTTTCAAATTACACTTTTTTTTTTCATTGTTCTCAGAGGTACTTCTTTGCATTACATTTTTGGAATATAAAATATTTTAAATATTTTATTTTAAACTATTTCATGCGTGAGTAACAAAACAGACACATCATATAAGTTGCTGGCAGACACAAAGATTTGTAACCCTTGGTGCCACTGGGCAATCTGTCAACAGCTCAATTACTGTGACCCAAAAGGTCTTGATTTTAAAATGCCTTAGAAAATTACCAGCATTGGTGGTTTTCAACTCTTCCCTTAAAAGTCTAGAAACAATATTTAGGTGGAAAAAGCAAACTCCAAAAGTTCAACTGAACATTCAAGTCTTTTTAAAGAGTATCTGTCTAAGCTTAAAACTAGGTTCAGGCACTTTCAGTTTTTTCCATTAGTTTAAAACCACATCACATACTCACACACATGTGCTCGGTGCACACGGGCACATGCACACACACCCAGGCGTGCACACACACACGCTCACATAAAACACTAACAAAAAGAAAAGCAGTGTGTCACTTAGTTACATGTAGTCTATTGGGAAATCAGGAAGCTAGGGAGACGCAATGCCCACTTCATCTGGATGAATCCACTCCCGAGACGCGAAAAGGGACAGACACTTCCACAGCACAGAGGCATCCCTTCAACTGCAAAGGAGGCAGGTTCTAGAACTATTGGCTTGGCAGTGAACCACTTCAAATTATAAAAAGGTATTTACTTTTATTAATTAATAAATAAATACTAGATGATCTCAATTGTACCAAAACAGGATATCAGAAAAAAAGACCTGTGCAAAAATACATATTTAAATATGTACAATTCATTTTTAACAAAATATGTCTTCTGAAATAGGGATACTTCCGTATTTATAATAGAACAAGAAATTCCAAAATAAAGATACAAAAGTAGGTTTTGTATAATTCTTTGTTCATCATTGCAGCACTTTTTTTTTGTAGGTTAAGAAAACTGCAGAAGTTGTCATGAAATTCTATTGGAAAGGATATAAAAATTATCTTGGTTTTAATTGATACCAAAGTCTGTCTAGAAACATCCCAACCACTGCAAATTTGGTTTTTGCAAGTTAATTTAATTCAAAAAAATACGTGTACTCCCGTGTTTTAAATGGTCTTAACTGTTCATCATAATAAAAAGTTGTAGGAGAAAATAAAATATTTCAACAGTCTAAAATTTAATAGCACTGTTTAGAATATGTCTGTTTGTGGCAGGCAGAATCCAAAATGGCTAATTTCCTAATCCCGATGCTCGGTGTGTTACCGGGAGACATAATGAAATTCAATTAAAACCTTAAATCTTAGAAATTAAATGATCACCACTCACTAATCTAAATATCTACATTATTCTGAATCAACTTGCTATTGTGGATCCTATTCACATCTCTCGGAACAACATGATCTGTTTATAAAATCCATCGCTAAAAGCAACTTTTTAACCATCAAGTCCCCTTGGCTCTGAAAATAAATTCTACCCACACCCCATTGCACTTGTCACCAAGGAATCACCCAGGTACGTTCTGATTCCCTCTTGACCTCCCCTCTCTCCTACCCAATCAGGATGGGACCAGCAGGTTGATTTTCCTAACTGTTCCATCCATGTTCTCTCCTTACTCAACTTTCCTATTTGTATCATTTTAAAAACATTTACTGATTGATTGCATAACAAGTGAACAGGATACTGTTCTCCCCTTCCTTTAAAAAAAAATCAGTTATTTTACATCAATTTATAGCTAAAGTATCTGCATAAAGTTTTTTTTGTTTTCTTACATAACAATAATAATCCCATAGTAATTCACATTATTAGGCTGGTAACGTAGTATTTATTCATTTTACCTGTTGTTAACTTGAAATTCCCTGAAACTGAAGTTTGTAACCTAGGAATCATATGGGATAAAGGATGCACGCACTCACTGGCTCTGTCTGGGTCCTGGCCAGGGCAATGAGCCGGGCCTTGGAAATTTTACCCTGTGTTCGGCAGCTTTGTGTGTTCTGGGCCAAAGTGTTTGGTTCTGGGTTCATGTGCGGGGATGGTAGCATCACATGTAAAAAGGCCCCAGCACACCCTCCAAAGCCAACGACACCTTCTTAAGCAGTGCTGTTTGGACAAGATATCAGAATAAAACATCCTAGAGGATTCCAGAACTCTCTCAGGAAGATGGCTGGCATTAACCCCAAGAGAGGAGGGATGGATATCAAGGGGATACTAAGCACACCACAGGGAACCTCCAGAGGCCCCCACACACATTCTCCAACCCCTGCCCTCAGTGCTTTGCTCCCACCCACCCCAACTGCCCAAGCAAGCATCCACAGTGGCCCGGGGTGGCAGAGGTGTGGACACACGTGGCATGACACGCAGGCTACAAGCACGGGTGACACCTCATCCCGGACAGCATCCACAGAGGGAAACGGGAACGTGGAGAGTGCCTTGCAAACACTGAAGTCCATCCTAATAATTTCATTTTAAAAGGCAATTTTTAAAAAGCAAACTGAGTGGGACAACCAACCCAATCTGACATACTGTTGAACACCAGAACTTATAGGATAAGAAAATTCCATCTTTGGAATTTTACCTTTCCCAACAACCCACCCACCCTTCCCCCCACCCTGATTTGGCTTTCCAATATTTGTTTTTGTTTTGTTGAAATCACACAGAAACGCTCTTGTTCTATGAAAAGTAAGCCTCTAAAATGTGTATACTTGCTGTCTGGTCAACAATGGCTTCAAATTATTTTTAAGTCCACAACTTCGGAAAACCTATGCCGGATTCCACATGAGATGCTAGGCTATTTTCATCATGGTGCCTGGCACTAATGTCCATATTCCACTCCCAGAACATCATTATGGAAATCTAAAGCCAAGTTCCCTTTGCTGGAGGGCTGCTCTGCAGTTTGCTATCTTCTGGGAGGTCTCCAGTCCCTTGGGAAGAAGCCTGACTGCTGGAGAGGGAGTGACCTACACAAGACAGGGTGTAAAACAAATAGTAACAACAACAACAAAAACCAAAAAAAAAAAAAAAAAAACAAAAAAAAAAAACCAAAAACAGACAGACAGACAAACAAAAACCCTGGCAGGAAAGGGAAGAGAGAGGAAAGTCTACAGTAACGCTCTTGCCAAAACATTCTTCTGCCTGGCCAATCAAAGAGTGGCTCCATGATAAGTTAAAAAAACAAAACAAGAACAAAAACTCTCACAGATTGGTAGCAAGCAGTCCAGACCACTTTAACACTGACATTAGCAATTCGGTGGCTGAACCTGATCCAGTGTCCTTTGTGAGTACTCACTGCTACAGACATAGCTTCAGGGAAATCCTCATGAAAACGCCAGCCCGACAGGCTGCTACCCTTGAGGCCCACGGGAGGCTGGGCAAACACACTCAAAGGCATCGTGGAGTCCAGAGTGCTGAGTGAAGGTGTAACTTGTCCTCAAAAGGGTCCGGATTAGTCCTCCCAGTGACACTGTCAGTTGTCAGGGACGTGCCTTTGGCTTTTAAAAAAGAAGGGGTGGGGAAACAAGGAAGAGGTAAGTAAGCCGTCGTACACTGCTCTCCCCTGCTTCCAAACACCACCATTCCAAGAGCTACATACCCACCACTCAACTCTGCGTCACCGGACCGTCCCAGCAGCAGGAGCTGCAGAACTCAGCCCAAGCCTCCAAAAATCTTGCCGGCTCTGGGACACAGCCATTCTAGAGACTGGCTTTGAGGACTGGCCAAAGGAGATGCAGGCCTGTGTCTAGCTGAGAAAAGGCCCTCGAGTTTGCATCTTGATCCGTATTTATGAGCTTTGTGGCCTTCAAACGTTAACTGAGAAAAGTTCAAGTGGGAGAGGGCACACAGGTGCCCGCAGAGCCCAGGGAGGGGACTATTCTAAGGGTGAATAGCAGACTCTTCAGCCTAGCCCCGAGTCCTTGATCTCCCGCACATCTTCCTCAGATGTTCAAACAGCTCAGCTGTTTTTAAGTCTGCTCCACAACCAACAAGTGTACGCGTCCCTACTTTCCCCAGAACAGCATTCTTCAACATCCCCTCGGAGACTGAGAACTGTTCAGGACCCTCCTGCAGACAGAACTTTTAAGAAGTTCTGTATCATTTCTTTGGGTTCACAGACCATCTGATCTCTTTCCAGGGCCTCTCCTAGAGCCTGTATAGCACAGTAAGTCCTCCACTGGGTAAAGCTTTCTCAAGTACAAACTTCAGCTGAAACTTCAGCTTGGGAAGAGAACCCAAAGCGATGACAAGACAGGAGAAATCAGAGGTGGCAAGCAGGCAGGTCAGGAGCCCCACACGGTGCACAGACACACAAATGCTAAAAACGTTTATACATCTGCATCTATCAACATCTGTATATATTGAACATGAGGGACTTCAAAAAGTATGTGGAAAAACACAAGCTAAATTTATTTTCATGCAGAAGTAGCTGAAAACCATTGCAGTTTCACAATCTACATTTCCATATGTATCTTAAAATGGCCAAATTCCATAAGCAAGCCCAAATCTACAGGCTTTCTTTACAACTGCTACCGAGTGTCTGCGAGCAGCTGCTCCATGCAGTCGGGTGCCCAGGGCCCACACCAAGGGCACTGCTACTTGGTACCGTGTCTTCCCTAGCCTCTGTCCGCCCTGTGGGCTGCCAAGGGCACATGCCTGCGATGAGCAGACAGCAGGCTCCCTAACGCAAATGTGAGATGCACAGTACAGCACCTTGGCTGGCCACATCTCCTCAGAGAAGCAAACCCTTGGGGTTTCAAGGGCATAAGTGTGTCCATTTACTTGCTCTAAGGAGCAAACACCGACCAAGAAATTAAAACCCAACTTTTCTTGCTGCAGCAAATCCTGCTCAAAAAGTAAGTCAGACAACAACCCAGTAGTTTGTAAGCGGAGTAGCTACCTGAAATCCTGGAGAACCCACTTCCCTGCATCCCTAGGGGGAGGAATATAAACTGACATCAACAGCAGAGGGGAGCCATGGCACAGTGAGAACTTTCTCGGTAGTTCCTAAGAAGTCCTAACTGGGTATTTGAGGCAAGTTCTACAGATGAGCAAGGACGGGGAAAACAACCACAAAAAAAGGAAAAAAAAAAAAAAAAAAAGGAGCCTCACATTTTAAATCGGGGCTCTGGGGAGATGCTGCTGGCATTCCTGTTCAGAAGCAGAGTGAGGAGAGGTCCTGATGAAGGAGATGGTGAGAGACGAGCTGAAGGCAGAGCCAAGCTAAAGGCAAGGAGGTCAGGAAACAGGAACTGTGGAGAAGGCAGCAGGCGAGACCCCACACAGCAGATCAGGGCAGTCAGCCACCCGGTCAACACGCACCTAGCCACTGCTCCACTACAACTACATTCAGACTTCAGATATGTAACTTGCAATGGAATTGTACTCTGCTAAGCCCACACTGAATCCTGGTTACCTGTCTACCTCGTGAGCAGGGAGGAGAAACTCTGAGATTTAACTGCACATCTACAGTTTTTCAAGGGGAAAAACTACTTTGAATCAGAACATCATCTCTTTCCAGAGCTTTCTGCAGAGTACTGCACTGGAAACCCACTCCCGTGGGAACACACCACTTGCCTCCCTCCTCAGCAGCACAGAGGCGGCACCACATGGGCTGCGGAATGGCCTCTCCTGTGGTCCTGTGGTCCTTACTGGGCTCACAGGACACGTGTGTTCCTCAGCCTTGCATGCTAACTGCGGGAGCAGCCTCCTTCCCCAGGGCATCCTCCAAGCCCTCGGAGACCCTGGCAGAGACCAGCCCCAGCTACCTTCAAGTGCCTAGGAGCGCTTCCTTTTCTCAACACAGTAGGACGCTGTGCATCACTTCCAGACAAAGCAACCGAGCGCGTGAGAGCTGTCTGACCCAGCAGAAGACCCCAAAGGAGAGGAAGCACGGCCTCCCCGGGGCTCAGAGTCCGCCTCCTACCTGATGCAGAAGGGAACTGTTCGTCAGGCCTTGCGCCCCTGGGATGCTGCCTGTGTGTTTCATGTGGACGTTGTTCACGGCCGGCAGTTTGGCAACCTTTGTGGGCTTGCTGCTGTTGCTGACGCTGCTGGAGCCGGGGGAGCACTTTCTCTTCTTTCCCATGAGCTTGTCTAGAGGAGTGTGTGAGTGTGGGAAACCGCCATGGGAGTTGACGGGCAGTTCGCTGGACTGGTGAACGAATGGACCAAGAGAAAGAGTGGAATCCCCGCTGTTCACCATCACACTCATCCTCTTGATAGATTCGGCAGAGCTCCCACCTGGGGGCCCCCTCCCTGACTGGTCGTGCCGGACGCTCACTGAGTTGGCTTTGTTCGTCACACAGTTGAGGCCACTGCTATGAGAAGACATTACCGCTGAAGGGTATGGAGGCCCAGGGTGAGCCACACAGTTTTTCCTAAAAGACTCCATGGAATGAGAAGAAGAGGAGGAAGTGGAGGAGGAGGGGTGAACTAAGAGAGGGGCAATGTTTTTGCGTTTCTTTCCTGAGCCGCCACTGGTACTACTACTGGCATTGTGACAGTTAGTGTTGTTACCAGGAGGCTCCTTGGGCCTTAAAGACTTGCTGGATTTCAACTTCTGAGGTTTCCTGGACATGGGGGAGGAAGGGACTGAGGAGAGGCCAGAGGGAGTGGCAGGGGACGACGATGACGACGACACCTGTCTGGACTGCATGCTGCACGCCACAGGGTCCACAGCTCCCGAGGTGGCGGGCTGCGCGTTCAGGGTGGTTCCGTGGGCCGGTACCGATTTGCCGCTGGGGGAGATGCAGGTGGACGAGACAAGAACTGGGGATGTAGAGACGGTGGCTGCTGTAAGATAGCTGACTCCGCCCTGGGATGTCGGCACAGAATTTGTCCGGTGAGGAACACGTGTGGAGATGGGTGATGTGGTATTGTTGGGCACTGGTGGAATTTTCCTTTATCAAAAAAAAAAAAAAAAAGCAGAAAGTACGCAATAGCATTCAACACAGACCATTCACACAAATCTCTGCTGAGGGGAGACAGCTCCCTGACCAGCCGATGGTTGCCCAATACAAAGCCCAGTTCCAAGGAGCCTTCCTTGGGTTGTGGGAGGAAGAGCAGGGTGGTGCCCACTGCCACCGCAGCTCGACGCCATCACCTCCTTCAGCGCAGGCACCAATGTCCCTCACATGCTGAGACAATGCCGAGGTACAAGGCTGTGACGTGTCTTGGCTGGAACCACTCCGCCTGGCTCATGCACATCAGTGTGTTCTCAGCAGGTCTGGGTGCACCTCCCCCCGCCCCGCCCCTTGCCAGACTCACTCTAGGCCATTCTACACTCTTTGAGACTAAGCAACAACCCCAGTTGACTTGCCTTTGGAGCCCCGGCACCCAGCACAGTGCCTGCTATATACAATGGCTCTCAATGAACTCTCAGGGACTACAAGAGCAGATGAGAAAGAAGCACGGCCCGGCTCATTCAGAGCACTTCTGAGGTCATCATATCGCCTGGGCAACTTCACATGTGAAGCAAGCCTCGGGCTCTGGGGGTTTCAGCCATGGTGTTGTGCTCTGGTGTGGCAAGCCCAGGGAGGTGAGCTGTTGGAGCAAGTGTGAGCCGCTCCAATCCCCACACAGGGTAGGGGATCCCACTCCCTCCTAAGTTTATCTCTCATGTTTTTTTCCTTCTTTGTAAAATTATTTTGAGATGCCAAGTGTAGGGGATGGGGCAGGGAAGGATCCTAGTCACTGATTCACTCCCCAGAAGCCAGGAGCCCAAACCAGGGGCGGGGGGGGGGGGCAGCAGGAACCCCTCCCCTGCTACCTCTCTGGGGACACATCTGCAGGAGGCTAGACCCAGGATACACACCCGGGCACTGACAAGCACCATCAGTGTCTCAACCGCTGGGCTAACCCCTTACCCCTCAGCTCTGATTGTTAAATGATCCAGAAACTCTTACAGCAGCATGAAAACTGAAGTGATAAAACAGAAGCATCCTTCCTGGAAATCAAGTGCCGAGACTGCCTTGCTCAAAGTGATACGCAGGGCTCAGCCAGGTGTGATCCCAGCCGGGGCTCAGCATGCTGCCAGCTTGCTTTGCAGAAGCTTCCCCCCACCTTTAATGCCCACTTATTTTCACTGGAAAGACAGAGAGACAGACAGACACACACACATACACACAAAGATCCTCCTTTCACTGACTAACTCCCCAAACAGCCACAAAGGCCAGGGCTGAGCTGATCTGAGGTCAGGAACTTCTTCCACATCTCCCACATTGATGCAGGGCCCCAAGGACCTGAGCCACCATCCTGTGCCTTCTGAAGCCACAAGCAGGGAGCAGTATTGGAAGTGGAGCAGCTGGGACATGTACAGGTATTGAGGAGATGCCAGCACAGTAGGCAGAGGATTAGCCTGACAAGCCACAGCACCAGTTCCTTTGCCGATTTTTTTTTTTGAAGGACAGTATGTTAATAAAAGTTATCAGTGGCTAGAAACCCCTGCACCTGCTCTAAAACCCCTTTGTGATTATGCAACTCTGGGCCTTTGCAAAACTGCCTGAGAAGCTTAAGCCACACCCACACACATCCACCAGAGGCTCTGGAGGGACAGGGCAGATGCTGGCCATCCTATCTCTGCAGGAGACTGATGCAGAGGTAAGTCTGAGGAGCTGGACTCTATGCTAACACAACTTGCAGGAAGGACAAGCGCCGACATGATCTGCCAACTTGGTGGGAAATGCTGAATTCCTGGGCCCCACCCCACTCTGACTTCATCAGAAGCTTTATCTCAACAAGGCCCCAGGGGATCTGTGGGCACTGGCTCACTCCTCTGGGAGCCCTGCTCTAAACAAATCAGTCCACAGTTTGGTGGGTGCACTGGCCTCCTGTGGCCACCAGGTGGCCAAGGACGCTATGTTAGGCCCAGGCTGTCTTTCTGTGCTCTGGGGAGAAGACCGTGCACCAGGGAAAGTAGGCAACAATGACTACCTCTGAAACTCTATGTAATTCATGCCGTTCTGTGTAACTAGAAGGTGAACTATAACATGCAGCTACACTGCCTCGTGTTTGCACAGACCGAACATTCACAGCTAAGGAAAATGGCACCATTTGTGGGGGCTGGGTGGGCAGGAAGGTGTATAGGAGCTAGGAGTACCATTCTCTTCACTGTACGCCTTCTATTCACTGTTCTTTTCCTAAGCCAAGGGAAAGAAGGAAAAACTTCCTACCCACCCCAGTCCCTTCTTCCGGGGTGTGCGAGTAACAGACACAAACCAACAAAGGGCAAGTAGGCAGGTCCCAGAAACCCCAGGGGCTGGAACTGGCCTCCTGGGCCACGGCCCCCAGAGGAAGCACCTGCTGACATCACCTCAGTCCAGAGACTCCACACACCAACACTGACTTATCTTCCATCAGATCCTCTTCCACTTTACCTTGAAATTTACCGCACTAAAAACTGAAGCTAGGGACCCTTCCTGGGGGAAACAGTTAACAGGCTAAGCGCACAGGACAGGGTCTGGACCATGGAGCAAATTTCCTCAAGTGCCTGAAATAGGTCCTGAGCCTTCTGGCCCTGCCTCGGGGCCTGTGTGCATCAGCTGACAGCATTCTCAAGCCCCAGGGCAGGTTCCCATCCCCCTCAAGCCAGAGTGCCAGATCACCACGGAGCAACACGACTGCACAGCTGTGTTGGCTTTCCTGAACCAAAGGTCATGTTCATGGAAAGGCTTGGTGTTCTCCCCGGGAGCCAGTGATAAGGCAGTCAGTGCTTGCACAGCGTGGAGAGATGCCAGATGGTGCTGTCAACCTCTCAAGTTCACAGCACACACAAGCCACCTGGAACCAAACCATCTCTGCCCAAACTGTTGGCCATAAACTGCTTATCAATATAGTGTGGAAAAACACACTGAGGGCGCTTCTTTACCCACTGAGGGCGCGTACCTCAGTAGCTCACCCGAACTCTCCAAGTACCACTGTGGAGTGTGAGGAAAGCAGCAGCACATTCCGGGGACTACGCCCCTGATTTTATCTCTGGCCTCAGGAACAGGAAGAAGAACCTCCTACCCAGTAAAATCCAGTCACGTAAACATGACCTAGGGAAGCAGACGTCTCTGCACCTGCAAGTCCAGGTGAATTAATCAGTGAACACGCTCTTGTCCATGACAGTGGCTCCTTGGGTTAAATGCTCATCAGGGCCACTCAGGCCCAGCGTCTCTGACTCAATTAAGCAAGCAAGGAACGAATCATATGGCTGCACTGGTAGAGTGTATTCAAGGAAGCGCTGGGCGGTGATGGACAAAGTGCAGGATCCAGGATGATACAGGGATTCCTGGACTGTCTCGTTCAGCAAAGCCCGAGGCTCATCAAAATATACCCACCTACCACTAGCTCCTCCAAATGCTCCCCTACATGAAGGTCCCCAAGTGAAAATCAGATGCCCCGAATGACACACAGCAATGTTACAAAGCACAGAGTCCACTAAGGGCTCTAACAAGTCCTGTAGCAACAGAAACTACTTTGTTTCAGGAAAGGTTCAATCAAAGTCTCCTGGCCATGGAGCCTTTCTTCCACTGCAATCCCACAAGGCGAACAGCAGCATCCGTTAGGCCTGCTGGGACAACTTCACACGACCAGGCTCCTCTCCTGGCATTCTCTGGTCACTGCCCACTGAACTGAGATGCACCCGTGGGGTCCTCTGGCACTTGCAACCCTCTCACACGCAGCTCTCTGTGTTGTTTGATTCAACTGTCATTTCCTCTGACTCAAGGCCTTCACCAGGCTGGAAGCCCCTGGCCTCCTGCCCCAGGGGCTGCTCCTCAGCCTCCACCCACATGGCTCCTTCCTGGGTTACCTCTGCACAGGGCAACCCCTCGAGCTCTCAGGCCTGCTGGCCACCTGTATCAGTTGTTTATTTGGAAACAGACTGCCACATCCAAGCCCTGGCTCTCCCACTAACTTACTCATGGCCTTGGATCTGCTTCATTATCTGTAAGACACAGTAATATCCTGGTCATGTGACACAGAGGTAAGAAAATCAGCCATATTTACAAAGTGCTCTGCCATCACAATGAGCTCTCTGCAGTCGCAAGAGATGATCAGAGCTTCCACGGCCGGTCTCACAGACGCTGGAATCGCCTTAGTCCTGCTAACTGGTGCTTGCTCCCTCCGCTCCCAAGGAGACTGTTGAAAGCCGTACATGTGGGACCCATAAGCCAGAATCTCCAGCATTCAGAACAACACAGGAACCCCCAAAAGCTTTGGACAATGAATACTATTTAAAAAAACTACATATGGATTTCAAAATACCTTGCATGAAATAGGCTTCCGCCTCATTTGGTTCCTGCAGATTTTTAAAGTACTCTCACAGGTAACTGCTGATGGGCTGGGAGGTTATGAAGGATCAATTACCAGCAAGAGAAGGCCACCTTCTAACACCAGGCCCAGAGCACACGGAACAATGCATTCTCCCCCGGCACTGACACTCACTCACCTCCACAGCTGCGCATTCAGATGCTTCTCCACCATGAGGTTGAGGGCGCAGCGCAGCCGGTTCCACCTGGAGTCAAACACGTAATAACCTCTTCCAATCTGCCGGCTCCCAAATGTGCAAAACTGAAATGGAGAACACAGTCACACATACATGCCAGATCTGCCACTCTCCGCCCCTGTGGGGACGGTTCCCACTCAAAACTGAGTGCTAAACAGGAGACACACAGCTGACACTGAAGACTACTGGCCATGATAGTGACAAGGCCAACCCGTGTTTTGTGAGGGACAAGGAAAAGGCACAAGTTATCCCCTGGATAGAGTGCCTGTCAGCTCTGGGACACTCTGTTCTCACACCTAGACCATGTTCCCCCCCGACGTGGGCAGGCCACGGTCCTGGCCACAGTGTAAGGGAGAGAAAGGCATGGGGCTGACGTGGCACTCACAGATGCTGGCTGAGGATGATGACCTGAATAGTGACAGTCCAGTTTCTCAACAGACTCTTCTTTGTCATCGCCTTCGCCCTCCTCACTGGATAACCGAGAAGCTGGCTCAGTGGCAGGCAGGGGAGGGTGTGGAGACTCAAGGACTGGAGGGGGGTCAACGGGGGCACTCCCCCCTTGCTGAGCAGGGCAGCCTGGAGGCCTTGGGGAGTAGAAAGTGCAGCGCTGATTAGGTCACATGACTGAACAATCAGCCGCCTAAAAGACACAATAATGAACCCCAAACCACTACCAAGGGGAGGCCCATGGTCCATCCCGGCACCCAGGGAGCACAGACACTGATATAGCCGTTGGTGGCCTCCTGAAGGCCATGCTGCTAAATGAAGCTGCTTGCCGCATGCCATGAACCAACACTAACTTATAACTAGTCCTCCTTTCCACAGTCTTGTAGGTGACTCAGGTCTCCTCCCTTCTCCTCCATGGAAAAGGAAATACTTTTGGAGTTTCAGCAAATTCCTTCTTGGTCATTCTTCAGAATTCCACTAGACTTCACTCACAAGGCAGTAAGAGACTGGCAATGTTCCCTAAGCTAACCTAAGAGCAGATGTGACGGGTGCTATGGTACACAACTAGCCAGGAGCCTGTTATTCATGAATAGGAATAAACGGCTTCTGTTTCTTTGGTTTCCCAGGGGATCAGAAATTAAGCTTCCTTTTGCACAAAGAACTTCAGAGGGGGCCGGCATTGTGGCACAGTATGTAAGGCTGCTGCTCGTGATGCTGGCATCCCATATAGACACTGGTTTGAGTACCAGTTGCTCCATTTGTAATCCACCATCCCTACTAGTGGCCTGAGTAAGACGGCAGAAGATGGCCCAAATACTTGGGCCTCTGTCACCTGTGTGACAATTCTGGAAGGAAGCTCCTGGCTCCAGCCAGGGCATGGTGGCCATCTGGGAATGAGCCAGCAGATGTAAGATTTGTCTAACTCCTTCAAAATAAATAATTTTTAAAAATTTTCCTCCATTGAAAAGATATCCAAGAAAAGGACAGCTAAGGGGTCTTTGGCTGGGGCCTGGTCACAATGGGAAGTGGGAGGACTCAGACTGCACCCCAGCACACTCCCAGGGAAGCACCCAGCTCATGCTGACAGGTTCAAGTCCACAACTTGGTTTCCACACGGGAGGCACTTCTACACTTGCGTAATCACTTCAAGGACTGAACATGTGAGGGGAAAGCATTAAGTAACGGCAACAAAACGTTGGCACAGCCCTAAGCAGCCCCTGGTCACCAATGACTAAGGCCTCTCTTTGGTTTCCTTTCCCTCTGGAAACAGCACCATGGCCAAGCACAAGCACACACATCTCCCCGTCACCATCCCTCTGAGGTATGCGTATGGTATGCTCTCATTAAAACACTCTGACCTGCTGCTTACATTACAAAAATGCTCAAGTTGAACTCCCTGAAGAATGAATGACAAACACATCAATAAACAAATGCTATAAAAAAAAAAACCACCCCCAGGCTGAATGGTCATTCTTAGCAAGAATTTTTCCTGCTGTATTTTGTATGAAGCAAGGCTACTGAATGGGCAGCTGCTAACCAAACTCTAAGCAATGCTCTAATCACCAACATACACGGGACCCAATTTCAGCTCCACTCTGCAGAGCAAGAGACACCGAACACTACGCAACTACAGAGCAGATAATCCCAGCTTTATCTGCTGCTTGCACTTACAATAGGGAAAACCCTGGTTGGAACTCAGGGATGAAGAGCAACAATTTGCTTTTCTCCCAATAAAGCCAATTCAAAACGTTTTTTCTGCCATAAGCCTGATGCATGTTTCTCAAGATCCTGACTGACCTAGGGTTTCTTTGGTGTCTGCAGGTCTAACCTCGGAAAGTGTGGCTCACCTTGGAAGACTGGGGGTGTGAGGTTTAGGTTTACTAGCTACGAAAGGCTTTGATTCGGAAGGAATCACGGCGTGAGGGTTTTGGTGTGGCTCCTGCGACGGTCTGGGAGGGGCGGGATGCGGGTCCCTGAGAGGCTGCGGTGGTTGCAGAGAGTCCGGATGGCGAATCGATTCCTTTTCCCTGGTTTTGTTTTTGTGCTCGGCTAATAACACATCGAATCGTTTTCTTCTACCCTGGACAGCCCTCCGCTGCGTTAAGGAATGTGTCTACAGATTTAAAAAGAAAAATAAAGAAAAACTGAAGCATTGCAGGATTAATTCTTCTCTGTCATACATATGATCACACCATGCCCAGGGAAAAGACAAGGTATAACATTAGCACTCGCAAAGACTGCTCGGCCTGTGACAAGGGAAGAGCCCTGCAGGCTGCTCTCTCGTCTGTTGGGTGAGAAGAACCCAGCCTCCAACGGAGCAGTCTGCCCCAGAAGCGGGAAGCCATGTACACTATCTCACCTGGGATGTGACTGAGTGGCCAACAGGTGCATGCAGATGACAGGGACTCACATTTTTGTGCCACAATAGTTTGCTTATTGTGGCTCTCACAAACTCTCAGTCATTTGCAATTCTGAACTTAAAAGACAGAAACAATTGTGCCTTAAAGCATTTTTCAGAAAGTGCTCTGCACATCACTGGAGGGCAAAAGCCAAGCCAAATCACATCTCTTCACTCCCACCCACCTGCAACGGAAAGAGAGCAGTGTGGCTCCCAGCACTGTGCAGACAGATTGCTACAGCAGGGCCGAGCGGAGAGCACTGAGGAAAAGCAGGCCTGGGGACACTCAGGGACATAGTGCAGAGCAAATCCGCACAAGCAGACACTCACTACGGCAACCAAGAAAAAGGGGAAGGACAGCAAATGTTTTACTTTCTGAAAGAAATGCACTTCAGAAACAAGGGAAGGTGAAATCATGGCAGTGACCATAGTGGACAGGGAATCCATGTGGCTGAAGAATGCCATCTTAACAACTACACTCAACACATCTGATACTCACTGCCACTTTAAAAATCAAGGCTGCTCAAAGGATAGAATTATTTGTAGCAGAAGCTGAATGTACAAATTGAAGCTGGTCAGAGATGGACAGATCTTGTTGGCAGACAAGTCCAATGACTGGGAAGTGATTCTGTGGGTCGAGTTACCACTCCATGTGCTGATGGCAGGCACATTCTGGTTTCTAGAGTGGATGAGTTTACACAGCAGCGATCCCAATCGCGCAGCCACTAACAGAAGTGAAATAATCTACACACTTCCTTCTTCCTTCAATGTTCTATTACACAGCTAATGATACTAAGTGTACACTTAGCTCCCTACATAACACTTGAATTCACTGATCTACGAATTTATGAAGCATGTCACCTGTATAATTTAAGAAACGAAAGGGAATCACACTTCTAATATTCATCTGAAACTTAGCAGCAAAACTCACCTTATTAAATATACTGAAGTCTATGTCCTCAAGATCTAGGCTGGCACAAACATGTGCTGTTTCCTCTTACATTTCTACTCAGCTATCTTTAATATATCACAATAAAATAAACTAGATGAGGACACGAATTGTGTAATTCAGTGGTATAGCAGCACCTCCAAGAACATTTTCCATTCAAATGCTTCAAAGAGAAAGGGTATAAAATAATGAATGGGTGATAGGCTGGGCATCTGGTCTAGTAGTTAAGGTACAAGATGCTAACACTGCTAGGATTTCATATCCCATCTGGTTACCGACTCAGCCAGTGTTTTGCTAATGGACACTGGAAGGCAGCAGAGATGCGTCCAGTGATCACATTTTGGTTGCTCATCAGGACCTGGACTGAGTTCCCAGCTTCAGCCCAGTCTGCTCCTAGTGCAGCGAGTGAAACTGAGAGATTGGACTGAGCTGTTGCTCTGCCTCTCATGTGAATAAAAGTGGTGCTATTCTTTGAAAAAGGGCCTCTAGAACATATTGAAAGAACATCACAGGCCCTGGTGCAGCAGCCTAGCAGCTATAGTCCTTGCCTTGAATGCGCCGAGATCCCACATGGTGCATGAAAGCAGTGGAGGACAGCCCAAGGACTTGAGACGCTGCACCTGCCTGGGAGACCCAGACGAGGATCCTGGCTTTGGATCAGCTAAGTTCCAGCCGTTGTGGCCCCTTGGGGAGTCAATGATTGGACGGTAGATCTTCCTTGCTGTTTCTCCTACTCTCTGTATATCTGACTTTTCAATAAAAATAAATAAATCTTAAAAAAATTTAAAAAATGGGCCGGGTTCAGTGGCCTGGTGGCTAAAGTCCTCGCCTTGAAGACACTGGGACCCCACATGGACGCTGGTTCTAATCCCAGCAGTCCCCCGCCTCCATCCATCTCTGTCTCTCCTCCTCTCTCTATATCTGACTTTGCAATCAAAACAAATTAAAAAAAAAAATCACAGGTGCATCTGCCTGGCTCTTCACTAATCTCTCATCTCTGAAAGTCCCCTGCTATTTAACGCTATAAAATCAAGTGAACCAAGTGGAGTCTAAAGAGGAACCATAATTTCCAGTGAACTCTGAAGAACATTCCAAACAGGAACAGGATGATGCTCCACCATCAAATCCCTTTGGGGTTGCCCAGGGCTCACAGTGTGCAGACTGTGACTCGGTCTACGGGCACCCACAGTTGCTAAGGAAGGCCCTGGCAACCCCTGCCCCCCGTGGGCTGCCGTGCCTCTTCTCTCCCGTTCAGACACTAGATAGCTTTCATGTTTTGAGGTGCACACTTTGCTTATTCTCTTTCAAGGGTATGTGTTTCACAGTTATGTATTTTAGCTTGGTTTTTCTATAGCAAAGGACAACTTCCTTGGCCAAACCTCCCTAAGTATAGGCTTTCATAACACTTTCTTTTGATTAACTGGTAACTGTATACTTATTTAACTATGAACAGGATAAATCCTCCAACTCCTTCACTAGATTGCAAGCCAACATAGACACAAAGCATGTCTTGATTTGCCAAGTTCTCTATCGTCCTGAGGGCAGGATAAGGCTTGTGCTCAGGAGAAACAAAGACTTACAATGACTGAACGGACATAAGCTACCAGAGTGACAAATCTCCCTACCGAAGGCCCAGAAGATGCCAGAAAGGGAACCAGAGGAATAAGTGAGCAGGGACCGAGGAGGGACCGAGAGGGTGGCAGGCAGATCACAGACGGTGAGGGAAGTGAACAACAGGAACCTGGAGGACACTCAGATATGTCCGGCCCTACACACATAGCTGAACAGACTCAGGCCAAAGGGAAGACAAGTGGCAGAAGAACTGGCAAACATGGCTTCTCATAAAAGGGCGAGCCTGAAGCGGCACTGTGTCTTCTGTAAATCCCATGCTGGGGCTGGAAGTAAAGATTAACAAGAACAAACTCAGCTCCACACCAGACAGAAAATGACACTCTTAAATAGCACCAGAAGAGCATCCACTGTTTGAAAAGTACAATGGGAGAAAAATCAGTTCACCTAACCTTAAAGGCACCAGAACCCTGGTCAAGCTCCTTACACCTTTTGGCAAGAAAAAGTTTTTTGAAAATCTCACCTCAGAGTAAGAAATCTCACTGACAAATGGATAAAAATAAATGTGGAGTGTTCACACAATAGAATATTACTCAGACTAAAAAGAAGGAAACTGGAGGCCAGACTGATGAGTGCCTTCTGATGGCTGAACAGGGCACTGGAGACTAGGGGCGGGTCTGCCCTGCCCCACAGGAGGAGGGGCCACAGGAGCCAGTTACGTCACCTACCTGGCGGGATTCCAGTTGACCAATGGCACACCTGAATGGACATTCCTTGCATAGTTGGGACACGGACAGCCCCTTTGCCCTCCCACGTGTCTAGATGGGTATAAAACTCCCAGACACGTGTCTGAGAGGTCCTTTTCGCTTCCCTCTTCCTTCCCCTCTGCGCGAAGGGGGCCCAGGAGCGGATTTTCCAATAAAGCTTCCATCTCAACTCTGAACAACTTGCCGATATTATTTCACCAAGCGGGCGGGCAGTCGGTGGCCATCATCTAACACCTTCAAGACTGGCATCCCAGCAGTGCTCCCCTTCCAACCCAGCTCCCTGCTAATGCATCTGAAAAAGCGCGTAGGCCCCTGCCACTCATGTGGGAGAGGAGCTGCAGGTTCCAGGCTTCTGTCTGGTACATTCCCAGGCTGTGGGGAGGTGAGACTGTCAGGAGGTGGGTGCAGGGTCTCAAGGCTTTGGGCAGTCCTTGACTGCTTTTCCAGGCCACAAGCAGGGAGCTGGATGGGAAGTGAAGTAGCAGGGACACAAACCATCACTCGTATAGGATCCCGGCACTTGTAAGGTAAGAATTTTTTGCCACTGAGCCATGTTGGGCCACCATGCATACTTTTTAAAATAAAATACATTTTCCCTGAAAATGGAGAGTCCTCATACACACTGTCAAAAAAACCCAGTCAAATTCCCAGAATTGATGAGTGAAATGGTGGTATGAACATAAAGGTTCAGCTAGGCAAAGAGGTTTAGAGATCTGCCATACTAGATGACGCCTGAAGTCCAGGAAACAAGACTGTGCTGTTCACTAGAAGCTGTAAGAGGGTGGGTGCCATGTGAAGGCTCCTTCAGCACAATAAAATAAAATTTAAGGAGGAAACGAATGAAGGAAGGCCAATGCACAGTGGCTCCAGCCAGTACATAGACAAGATCTGATTTTACCCAATATTTTTTTTAAGAACTAGAAGATAAAATTATTTCAAATTAATACATTTTAAGAAGCGGTGCTTTGAACAATTCACAGCTTTCAAAAGGCATCTTTTTAAAGTACTTGGGTATCACACCATGGAGAGCCAGGTGGGCAGGAAGAGGTCAAGGCACCAAGTTGGGAATCCTGATGTGGAGCGGGGATGGGAACTGTAGCAGTGGGGCCAGGTGGCACTATGGCAAATGTCCACGTGGCTCAAAGAAACAAAACAACATATTTACTGTCTACATTCAATAAAAAAAAAAAAGAAAGAAAAAAACAAAACTCAGTTTCGAATCTGGCATAATGGCCTACCGGCTAGGGTCCTCACCTTGAATGCACCAGGATCCCATGTGGGCACTGGTTCTGGTCCTGGCCACACCACTTCCTTCCCATCCAGCTCCCTGCTCGTGGCCTGGGAAAGCAGTTGAGGATGGCCCAAGCCTTGGAACCTTGCGCCCGTGTGGGAGACCTGGAGGAGGATCGTGGCTCCTGCCTCCTGACTGGCGCAGCACTGGCTGCGGTCACTTGGAGAGTGAATCATCGGACGGAGGATCTTCCTCTCTGTGTCTCCTCCTCACTGAATGTCTAATTTTGCGATAAAAATAAATAAATCTTTAAAAAAAAAAAAAACCCACTTAGTTTGACAAGAGATGGGAATTTTTAACTAGGAGATCCAAGTTTGGGGTGGGGTTTGGGGTAGGGCTGCCCATCAATGTCATGCACCAGGCAAGTTTAAAAAATTAGATATTTAAAGGCGTTCCTGTCTGTTTTCTCTCAAAGGTTGTAAATACTGTAAGATCTCCACACTTACAATTAAAGAACAACTAAAAAAAAAAGTACCCTGTTTCTGAAGAGTGAAATACTCCCCGAACAGCTGCAGGGAGTAGGACTGAACAAGGCCTGGCTATTATCATTTTTCATACAATTTAATATAAAATATCAGCAATCGTAGTCATTTTTAGAAGAGAACAACGCTCCATTTTCTAGTTTTTATACCCCTCTTTCAAATTACATACATCAAATCCAGTGATTCTAATACTTTGTGAGCCCCACCATGGGGAGGCTACAGGCGCTCCTCAGGCAGGAGCCCTCACCACGGTGGGAGGACACGTTCCAGCACCCTGAACCCACCAACAGCCCTTTACGGCCAGCGTGCCTTCTCACTAGAATACTGACATTTTAAGGGAAATAAATAATGACCTCTGACCATAATGGAGGCACTTCATTTCTTTAACTTGTATATAGATAAAAAATATACAGACGGTTTATCTAGTATTGTTTCAAAGACTATCTCAGAATCGTAGATTTTTAAAGCTGTAGCTCTTTAAAATTTAAGCTAAATTTTCACAATATTCATAAATGGACCAGAATAAATTTCAGAGTTTTCTTTTAATCTTGCTGCAATTAAGCCGCAAAAAAGGCAAGCCTCTCATAGTAAGATTGCTATGCTATGCTCAGAAAAGGCCAGTATGCCTCTGGACACTTACTACACTGTTCACGCTGAATCAATCTCTCTGATTCCAACACCACATTTTCCTGTTCTGAGCCTCCCTTTTTGTCAGGGTGTGGCTTTCTTCATCAGGAGCAAGTGACTCCCCATCAACAGACAAGAGCAATTCTCATAGCACCATATCTTCACGCTGTAACAAAAGCTATACGAGGAGCGACAGTCCTGTCCCCCCACCTGCGGGGGGCCACCTACCTTGCATGTCAAAGACCGGGTACAGGGCTTCTTGGTGTCGAGATCAATGACCCCACAGTGGATGTCAGGATCAAACTCTCTTTCTGCCAAAAGCACACAGACATTACACCTAAGAGGGCAGAAGGGTTCTCAAGACAAGCTGCGGCATAAAACCAAATCACCAGGTAGTCAATAAATACAACATCCTCAACCCTTTGGCCCTGCAACAAAGTAGCAATATCATCACTAAGCGAATGAATTCTACCTTTAGAAGACAGAATAGACACTATTTAAGGCAGCACTGCTGTACTGCCAGACTCAGAAACACAGCACTAGCAAGTCATTTTTATATAACGTACACTCACATGGGCTCTTGCAGAAGCAAGCATGAGGGGACAAATAATCATGCTACCTATCAAACTCCTCTAACGCTCAAGATAACCAGTTTCTCTTTTCAAATTTTTATTCACTTATTTGAGAAGCAGAGAAAGGTGTCTCCTACCCACTGTTTCATTTGATAAATTCCTCCAACAGCTGGCACTACACCAGGCCACCAAAGGTGGAAGCAAGGAGTTAAAAAATCTGGGTCTCCCATGTGGGTGACAAGGAGATGACTGCTTGAGTTAGCACCCACTGCTTCAAAGGATGCACATTATACAGAAAGCTGGCAGTGGAAGCAAAACTGCCACTGAAACTCAGGTATTCTCATCTAAGCTGTGGGCATCCCAAGCAGCATCTTAACTGCTAGGCCCCATGCCCACTTCCTGAAGTGAACTGGTTTTACAAAGAGGACCTGTTAAGTTACAGACAGGCCATTTGCTCCCTCAGATGTCCAGTACTGAGCACATTATTAAGACAGACATACGAAGTTACCTGATAATCTCTTATTTAAAAATTTTCGGTTATTGGAAGTATCTTCAGATTTCTTTTCCAGAGCAGGTGATGCAGGAAGCCCTTTGCCATTCAGAATCTGTCCAGGTGAAGGCAAGGTTGGCTTTGGTATTGAGGGGCAGTTAAGGCCAGGCTTGACTGAGGAACTCACAGTAGCAGGACATGCGGGCCCCACTGCAGGCTTCAGTAGTGTGCCATCCATCTTGGGATGAATCTTTTCCACTTTCACAGAGGGCGTCATGCTGTCAGCAGAGGAAGCAAGAACAACAGCACCTCAGTGCTGCGGCCTCAGGGGACTGGGGCACGGGGGCTGGGCAAAGCCAGGCAGGCTTCTAGACACCACTTCACCAACTTGGTTAGGGCTACCCGAAGAAGCCACCAAGGCTCACTCTGACTCAGGTTCAAGGTCTCTCTGTGACGCCCAAGCTCCAGTGGACCAAACTGACTTACCTTTTATCATTTCAGAAGCATTGCACACTGGGGCCTACAGTAGACTGGGAACTGATGCCACACACTATTTTTAAAAAGAAGCGAAACAGGCAAATGTCTAAAGGGACCAAAGACAGACTGTAGACTCCAGAGAAATTATCTTTGGAGACCTGTCATGTTTCAGAAAGGAGTCATCAAAATCAAATGAACTTCTGAGTGAGCACAGCTAGCAACATAATGCCAAAAAGGCCGATGGAATTCAACATGACTAACAACTCATTTCCAAGTTTTGACCAATGAGAAAGACCAATGTTTAATTAGTATGATAGTCTGTCTGCACTGGTGGTCACTGGGTTGTAACTCCCAAGACCCTAAAAAAGGTTTCTATGATAGAAGTTTACAAAGTACCTGGGACATACACAATTGGCAAGTGCCAGATACTATGCCACTAACAAAGAGCCAAAAGTTATCCTGGGATCTTAGAGTACTATCATTTTTCTTTATAAAACTGATGCTGTTACTAGTAAGCTAACAATAGTTGGCTTGGTTCTCCCCTCTTCTGAAGCCCTAGCTCCAAAAAAAGATTTGCTTGGATGAGGTTTTATAAACTTGGTCCACTGGAGTGAATGCTACAGCAGCTGTTAGCTGGCTAGTGACATAAGCAGTGCATGGGTATTTTCTTTGGCTTTCAGACAGCACTAGAAACGAAAGCCAAGCTGGGTGTGCTGTACTCCTTTCATATGAGCAGGGGCTGGGGGCTTAGCAACCAGGACAAACAGCCTCAAACAGCTGTACTTGGAATAGCCTGACCGCAGTAGACACTGCAAGATGCCATGGCCTCTCTCAGCTGGCAAGGTCCCTGGACAGTAGCAGGTGCTGGGCCCTGCTATGAGATTAATCAGATTATTGGACCTTGGGACTGAAAGTAGGGTAGACCCTCTAGAGGCAGGCAGGCAGGCAAGGCAGAAGCCACCTGCCAGCAGCTTGAGCGATGCCATGACACGGCAAGTTATATTTCTACCACGGTGCTCGGCTGCTCCCTCATGTGCCCTCAGGGAGCCTGCCAACGTTACAGATCCACAGTGGCAACTTGCCAAAGCCTTGCCTGGGGAGTGTGACCCAGGGCTGGGGGAGGAAGCAGTGCTTCCCTGTTTGCTTTGCAGGTCCCAGAAAATCCAAGAGCTATGTCTGGCATTGCCTTACCTTTTCCCATTATATTACCAGCAGCAGCAGAGCAGTGCCAGCTTCCATTTATTCTCTGCCTCCTATGGGCCAGACACTATACCAGATGCTTAACATCCATTACCTCAAACACTCCCAGTAATCCCACACTTCAGCTGCTTTCTTAGGCTTCCAGAGCAGCAGCGCCCTGCCCAAAGGCCTGCAGTCAGGAAACGGCAGAAGTGGGACAAAGCTTCTGAATACCATTCCAGCTTTTTCTCCCCGTGTGGAAAATGGACATCACAAACAGTAGTTACTCCACAGAAATGTTGTGATCCTTAACACAGGACACATAGATGGGGAGTTCAGTGGCAATAACTGGTACACAATAAACAGTGATTAAATACCGCTGGCCTCATTATTATTGCTATTACTACTCGAAGAAGGCTCCTAAGATACAGATAGGATAACAACACAGCAAGAACCAAACACACGTCAGAATGCTTCCCCAAGTGGGCTTTCACATCACTGAGGGACACCATGAGGTTCTGTGAGTAGCCACAGCAGCAGCTCCAGCAGAGAAGCGTTCAAACCCTCCTAGGCATACTCACATTCTACCATGGGGGGGTCTACTTTGCTGCATGGGATGCATTGGCCTGGTGTTCCCCCTGAGCTGCAGTTTCTCTTTGGGTGATTTCAACAACTTGGAACTTGATGAGGATGCACTGAGAACACCTCCACTGGAAGAACGGCTGCTTCCACTTGCACTGCCTCCTTTGCTTTTGGACAGAGAAGGGAAGAAGGAAAATACTGAAGTGGGAGGAACGGCCAGAGAAGGCTTGTTGGAGGAACTGTGTCTTCTTTCTGAAAAACACACAAAAGAAACAAGACACCTGGTTTTAGGCAACTCTCAGATGGAACGCTGAACCAGCTCTGTGAAATCAACACAGTTAAGTTAGAATATGTTTCAATAAGTGATATGTTAAACTTGGCAGCATTCAAAAATGGCTTATCTAGGTTCCACAGACAGACTAGGATTCCAGGAACTCAGCCTTCTGTTTCAGAGCATCTCAGCATAAAGTAGTTGATCACTAACACCCAGTAGGAAATTCAACCACCACTCTGAACATAAGGACATTGCCTTCTGGGCTTTGCATACTAGAAATGAACCTCACCCATTCCAGGTTGTACTGAGGGAGAGGAAAATCACTCATTCACTGCAGGGCTCTGCTCACTGATACTGCATGAAATCCTTGTTCCTTTCTAGCACTGTATGTCTTTGATTTTCAAAATAACAAAATCTTAACAAGCCGTACTTCCTTTTTTCCCTGCCAGTCACTACGCACCAGCATATGACACCACATCAGAATGTTTCAAGGGTTATCTGATCATTTTTAAGAGTCTGTGCTGAAATTTTCCAGTGAATCATTTCACTGCCCCCTTTTCCAATAATCTCACTTGACTACAGATGGCACAGCTCCATTTCACACCAGTAGGATGCCAAAGGCACAAGACCAAAATACCACAAATAGCTGCGCCTGTTTTTTACACCAGGAAGTAATTCATCATTAAGTACAGACGACAAAGTTTTAAGTGAAAATAAACCTAAGGCACTGGAGAATCAGGTTTTCCCAGAGCAAGGCAATACATAAGAGTACAAACTAAGAGCTGTTGAACCATGCTACTATCAGAAACAAGCATGCTTTCTGGTAACCGCATCTATGACAACGCTTGCTTTGGTAGCTGCTTTAAGTTAGAAACGCTGCTTAACTCTTAGCTATGTGATCTGATAGTGACTTACCACAGCATGGGAGCCAGACAAGTATTTCAAAGATTAAATATATTAGAAACAATGACAGCAATTGCCATTAAATCAGTACATTTTCAAACGTCGTGTTTCAGCAGTCCCAAACCTCTTGATGAAACTGTGATTCCTAGAAGGAAATTAGCTGTACGATCTTGCAGCTGTTGCGATTTTTTTAAACTTATGTATGTCTGTTTGTACGCATGACTGTATGTATTTAATGACACAGTTCCATAGGCTCTGGGATCTCCCTCCCCTCCTTCTCAGATTTCCACCCCCCTACTGTTTTCCCCTATATTATTACAATAGTATAGTCTGTCAAAAGCAATTTTGCATAGTGCAGCAGTTCTGCTATTTAAGTGTATCCTGACACTGTGGCAATGGACGATGGAAGAGTCCTGCAGCCTATTGTCAAGATACATTTAACAGCTTCACTGGGAATCCATTTTTGATCTGGAAGTAAGAGGTGCATGCTGGACTGCATCTTCATATCTCGATATGACAGTCTATTATGCAGCTCCTCTAGATGACTGTATGTCCAGGCAAGTTTACCCATACAGCCACTGATCTTGTATTTTGCATGAAGATTGCCTTAGATGAGATCAGAGAGAACATGACATTTGTCCTTTTGGAATTGGCTTATTTCTGATTTTTGTCAGTAAAAAGTCTTAGAAAAATTAAGAAAACTGTACTTTAAAAAAAAGGAAAAAAAAAAACTGTACCTAGCTGAAAGGAACCATGTGGAAATAATCAAAATGCCAGTATTTAAAAATTCACCACCATCCCCATTCTGACTTTAAGAACCATACTCAGGGCTGGTGTATTGGCAGAGCAGGCAAAGGCAGTCAGCTACAGTGCTGGCATTCCACCTGAGCACTGTTTCAAGACTGCTCTGCTTCACATCCAGCTCCCTGAAGGGGGCCAAATGTTGGGGCCCTTACCCATGTGGGAGACCCAGATGAAGCACCTGGCATCAGTGTGGCCGAGCACCAGTTGCTGTGACCACTTGGGGAGTGAACCAGCAGATGGAAGATCTCTAGGCCTATTTCTGTTTCTGTATAATGCTTTGAATAAAAAAAAAATTTTTTTCAAGAACCACCCCCATACCCAACACACAGTTTCTATTCACGTTCAGAGCCCTTTCTGCCACCACTTCATAACAGCTCACCAACCACAATTTTTCCCATCCTCACTTAAACAAGAAAATGCCAAGTCTTCTCAATGCAAAATGCCGTATTTACTTTTCCATTTATACATTTTCAACGACTTCACCTATGCAGGACTGTATTATCATTTTCATCAGGTTCTTATCTTTTTCTGGATGTCACAGGTGAAGGTTTGGAGGGTTATGTCATAACATTTTTCCAATAAACCCCATGTAGATTTCGTTGTGCAATTTTGCACATTGCAGCAATTTCTTAGGAATGCATGGTGCACTGCAGCAGAACATGCTACCACTTAATTTTCTATTCATACTATGGTCCACCCTCCCCTATGTTCTGCAGTTAATGCCTTCTCTCTCGTGTATTAACTTTCTGCATGGGGTACAGCACTAAAAAAAAATTTAAAATAAAATTTAGTTTCCTTAGGATACGGAGACATCACTAACATTCAATACTTGTATTTGGTACTTCACAGATATACCCTATCTAAAAATAAAGGTCAATCGAGCCTGGCGAGGTAGCCTTGTGGTGAAAATTCTTGCCTTCCACATGCTGGGATCCCACTCGGTGCAGATCCCAGGCAGGTGATGCAGGAATAGGGTGGATTTCACAGCCCAGTCTGCCCCCTAGAGCTGAATCGGGTGCTATTTTGAGTAGGGAGACAAAAGCTATGGGACAGGACTGCGCATGCACTAAGCTTGGAGTGAACTTATTTCTGGTTCAGTACACTGCAAAAACATGGCATCCTACAGGTTCCATTCAAGACAGGTCCAAGCAGTCCTCAGATCTGACAGCCAGCAGATCAAGAACTCCAGTAGCGGCACATCAGGCTCCATCTGTGCAGTATGGCAAAGGTGTTAAGACTGCAGGGACAACAATGAGCTGCGCAGTTACTGAGCTTGGCGAGAACTCACTGAGCTCAGTGCATTGCACTGATCCCACAGGGAAAATAATACCGACTTTGGCATCATACGGGTCACAAGAGGTCCGAGTGGCCCTCAGACCTAACAACCAACAGATTCTGGCAAGATCAGCACCATCAACAACCTAGCTATATTGGACACCTGGTGTCTCCCTAATCCTGGGAACTGCTAGAACCATAAGTAGGAGAAAGGTTGTATAGACAATGGTGCAGGCTCAGCATGGTATCACAGGAGGTGGAGAGTGGTGAGCCATCACCTGGGGCTATGGATACCATGATGGAAGCCTAACATAATGACCCAGAACCTGGACTCAGAACAGCAGCCTGGCAGCAAAGGTCCTTGTCTTGAATGCACAGGGATCCCACATGGGCGCCGATTCTAATCCATCCAGCTCCCTGCCTGTGTCCTGGGAGAGCAACTGAGGATGACCCAAAAGCCTTGTGATCCTGCACCCGTGTGGGAGGCTTAGAAGAGGCTCTGAGCTCCTGGCTTCGGATCGGCTCAGCTCTGGCCATTGCAACCACTTGGGGAGTGAATCAACAGATAGAAGATCTTCCTCTCTGTGATCTACGCCTCTTCCAAACCTGCCCTACAAATGATACTTAAAGATGTTCTCTTGGCAAAGAAAAGGAATAGCATCCACCAGAACCAAAGGCAAATGTGAAGAACATCCCAGTAAAATAATGACAGAAGACTAAATCAATGAACAACCCATTGATAAAATGACAGGATCAAATTACTACCTATTCGTATCAACCCTGATTGTAAATGGCTTAAGCTCATCAATCAAGTTTTATAGGTTAGTAGACTGGATTAAAAAACAAAACCCATCTATTTGTTAGCTAAAGGAGACACATCTCACCTACAAAAATCAGTGGAAACTATATCTTAGTCTTTTTATTTAAGTTGCATCTCTTCAAACCTCTTCCTCATTAAACTCTTCACTGACTCATAGATTGTATGGTAGCACCTATTCTTCAAAAACATTCTTGATTTTCTTTTTCATTTCTTCAGTGACACATTAGTCATTCATAGCATGTTATTTAACTGCATGGTGTTTTTATTTATTAGTTTTTTCTGTTACTGATTTTGTTTTGGCTTTTCATTTAAGGGGATGTACAGTGACTGTGTAGTGAAGATTATTATAACTAATAGTATGTTATTTAACTTCATGGCGTTGTAAATTTCTCTTTTTCTTCCTGTTGTTGATTTTGTATTCTGGCTTTTCAGTTAAGGGGATGTATAGTAACTGTGTAATGGAGACTATCATATCCAGATGTGAGGATACAATGCAGTATGCATCCCTACTTCCAGATCACAGATGGACTTCCAATGAAACTGTTTACTATGTCTTGACAATAGGATGTTGGACTCTCTGCCATTGCCCATGCCTGCAATGATGGACATATGACTGTGTATGAAGAAGTAAACTATAAAAATAATACAAGGAAACTCAATAGGTGCAACGCGGTGGTGACTTGGGGAGGGGTAAGGAAAATCCCAGGGCCTATGTAACTATATCATAAAATGATAATAATTATTTTTTTAAAAAGGAAAAATCAAGCTATCACGTCCATTTCTTTCAGTCACTGAACATTTCATCTTCATTGCTGAGAAGTCCCATCTCAAATTCTTGTAGCCTACTGAATCCAGCTGTTTCTTTGCATGCTGCACTGATAACTTTTTCTATGAAAAGAGAGCATCTGTCTTTCCCCGCATAAGACAGTAGGGAAGAGGAAACAGATTTAACTATAATTTCATTATGGTACTTTTTATAATCTTCAAAAACAGCAACAGAGGGAGCGCCCATTCACTAGTTCACTCTCCAAATTCCTACAACAGATGGGTTTGAGCCAGGCTGCAAAGAGCTAGGAACTCAATCCACCACTCTCCCGCACTGGCAGGAACCTAACTGAGCCGTCTCTGCTACCTCCCAGGGTCTCCAAGGATAGAAAGCTGGAGTCTGGAGCCAGG